TTTACCCTACATGTACAGGTAGAGGCTGGAGATGAGTGGAGTGTCTGATGTTAATGGGCCAAGCCAACAGAACTCATTTATAATGACAGTGGACTGGCCCATCCTTCATCCAAAAAAAAAAAAACAGTGGAAAAATAAAATGAAAAAATGGCTAGATATGCACCCAGAGGTGCCCACATCTTTATCCCTGTAAATTTTATGTACCAGTTGCTGTGACTTTTCCTTTTTTGTCCCAAGGATATTTCAACACATTAGGAGAGATTAGTAATCTAGTTGCAGGATTAGTCCCTTAAGCCTTAAATATCCTTGAAATAGCTTTTATGGATTAATTTCACCAGAAAGTGTTATGTTTTAACGAATTTTTAAGGGATAAAGATGTTCATACATGAACATACATGTACCGGTCGGTATAGTGTCCTTGATAGTGTTATCATCCCTATCCCACATTTGTTATCAGGGCAGTTAAAAGTAATGTTAAAGGTGATGCGAGAATGGGAGATGTATGTAGCCCTCAGGAGAAACAAATTCCCGTTGCAATACTGAATAGTGCACTTTTATCAGATACAGGCAACTTTTTCCAAGTCTTATACTTGACATGTTCCTGAACTTGCATAATTTTTGATGGTTTCTTTTAATGTGTGAATGCTCTAAATGTACCGGTACATGTGCATGTTCAGCACAATGATATGAAACATGTACATGTTTACAGTGTGTTGGTATGCATTATACATACTTGGAGTACATGTATGCACAGTGTACTGTTACCTGTACAGTAGTGCTGTGCACTTTCGAATAGTTAAGCGCCTGTATTTGATTATTCAAACTTGGATTTGATGGACTTTTCAAATATTTGAAAAAGTGCCGATCAAGTTTTACATGCACCAGCCTAAATTACATGTGCGGATTGGCAGTTGAATGGGACAGTTTAGAAACTGTATGCGTCTCGCATGCACTGGTTGATATTTGCATGCACTGATCAGGGAATTAAATGGGCTGTCAATCGGGCATGTCGGGATGTGAGTGCGCCTGTTGAAAATTGACAGTGAGCTTACTGAATTATTGAGAACATCATGTGTACTCAATTGCATTTTATTTTATTTTTTCATTTTTTTCCTGACCCCTCCCATTTTCAAATATTTGAATTGAAGTGGATGATCAGATGTTTGAAACAGCCCTACATGTAGCACAATGACATGCTTAACAAGCATTTCAACTTTTTAATTATGACTCTCCCATAAAATTGGCGTTTGATGTGTCATTGTTTAAACTATGTACAATGTACATATATGTCTTTCAGGTTTGTTCTGTTAATCATCTGAGTGACTAATCTACATTGTACAATAATGAGGCACTGAAAAAAATATATCAATTTGCGGCACTTTACGGTAGTTGCATGCGTATCCCCATGTTTCCAAACCGCAAAATTGGATATTGTTCAGTTGTACACAGGGTGTACCCTGTTTTGCGGTACTCAATAATACCTGTAGGGGTGTGCATTTACGGGGGTAGTACAGGAACTGGGTACCCGATTAAAAAAAATGGGTACCCATTTAAAGGAAACCCAACCCAAAAATTCAAATTTAAGAAGTTGCTGTTCAGATTGTTCATAAAGGTTCGTACGATAGGCTAAATACTACTACATGTACATATCTGTGCATCAATACAGCAAGATACAAGTGTGTACAGTGAGCATTATAGCTTAATGGCGTAAACTGCAACTTTTGGGAGCGTCATCGGAATAAAATCTGTTTTGTTTTCTTCATGTGTCCTGTTTCATTTTAAAAATAACCCACAAATAACATTCAGAACCCTTCTTCTTCATTGTCTGAGAAGTTACAAAGTTATATCATGTCGGTTGGGTACCCAGTTTCGATGCACAGCCCTACTCAATAAAAAGCATTGATACAAATACCAGTAAGTATAGTTACCCTCATTACAATATAACTGAGCAAATGCCATTGTGCAATTTGCATTCCTGAAATTAAAAAAAAATACAAAACTGACACACTTTTGGGCTAACTTTTTGTCCAAGTCCTACACATGTAGTGTTGTTCCTTTTTGGGGAATCTTTAGGATAATTGAATACTGCCTGAGGGCTAGGGTTCCCCCATCAATATTCAACAAGAGGATCATTGGACCAAGGCTGGCCCAGACTTTTTGTGTGGGCTCCATGCTTGAACGAAGATTAAACCACAGTGCATTTCTGTGGGGGAGAAGGCATTGACCAGTGAAAGGAAAAACCACAGGGACACAGAGCTGTCACTGTGCCAATTTTGCATATAAACATGTATGTACATGTAGGACACTCCTTTTTTTGGGGGGGGGGGGGGTTTGTGGCTGGGGAAAGTGACAAACATGGCCCAGAGATACTGTACATGATGTAAATAGAGTGCATGATGAATTTTGCAATTTTTGATTATGAAGATAGCTTCTTTTTTGCTGTAAACGTACATACATGCATGTGACGTGGTACATGTGTATTTGTCAAAACCAGGCGGAATTGGGCAGATCCATGAATGGAAAAAAAACGGCTGAAAAATTACATGGGGTGATTTTCAGTGATTTTGGGATTTTTCGAAAAGTGTGATGCTACTGATGTTTAAAGTGTTCTGTAAAAGTTTCAAACTGAAATTTCTTCGACAAACTCTATTTTTTAAAACACTCTTAGAGAGGCATGTCATTTCACAAATGACACTTGCTCAAGATGTTGTTTTTGAAATAACGCAAAATTAACATGACATTTAAAAAAACAAAGCGGCTTTTGAAAGAGCAAGGTCTGAATTTTACTCATATTGTAATGGAACTCAAAATTGACTTCTTTTCCAAAAGTGCCAGATTTTGACATACCATGTCACACATATGTGAATTAAGCTTGAGAAGTTTCATATTTGTCTGAAATGTTTTGAGTCAGAAAACTTTGTACATAAAAGTGTTTTTTTTTAAAGACACATGTTATGAGAGTACTTCAGACGTTACAAAAGCACTCCAAATTGTCTAAACTTCCCACCCACATTCCCACCCACATTCCCAGCAACATATTTGTCATGTACATCATGCGGGCATGCAACTTTTCCTCGGATCCCCTGATGTCCTCGTTTTTTACTTCTCATGAGTGCCATTACAAATTGAAAAATATTGTACAAAGTCTTGTGTGGTTTGGAATTTCCTCGTTTTCCCCCCTTAATTCCCAGTTGCATGTCTGTACATGGACAGCTGCAAATTTAAATCAGTAAGGAATACATTTTAAAGGGAATATACATCATTTGCTTTTGCTGTAATTTTCAGAAATGGATGGAATTGGGGGGTTGGATATATAAAGCAAATATAGTTACAATGACTTTTTGGAGCTTTTGGGTTCGAAAATGCTATAAAAATCAAGAAAAACGATCATTTTCCTGTAGTCTGGTTCCCTGACTCCATATAAGAAGAAACAGAGCAGTTTACATACATTGGGGAATTGTAAGGTCAGGGAACCAGTCTAGCTGGCTCGTACCCGTTCATAGGTTTGTAATCGATTGCAAACAAGTGCAATGGTCAATTGGGGCCAGTATTTGAAAAAAAAGCCAGTTGTTTCCAACGCTGATCGGCCGATCAGCGTTGGAAATTGATACAAAAATACCACTTTTCTTGAAAATGACAGTATACCAGGTGCCATAATTTTACAGGATGCTTTAGACTGTCATTTACCAACATCCTATTAAGGTATTTCGCAAAAACTTGGTAGTTTTATTTTTCGATGTTTGCAAATGTTGTATATTCCCTTTAACAGTGTTAATCATTATGATCATACCTTATTGATTATGTCAAGGTTCTGTCGCCATGTGCATGTATTCAACATTTTTAAAAAAAAATTACCTGATTAGCATGACATAAAATGTGTAGGAGAGCAGACACAATGAACATTTAATGTGTCTGGTGTATCGCATATGTTCATAACATTTTGCCAAGTTGGACTCAATAAATACTGTACATTTGTTTAAAAAAAATCTGTCTTGCATTGTAATTGTGCTATTGTGTCTCTTTCACTTGTAATTTTTATGGTTGAAAAAATGTGTCTTAGCCTGCAGATGTATCAAACAGATAAATTTGTGTTAATGTGTTTAAGGAGTCTACATTTGTACATGTACATTACACGTACATGTGTACGCAAGATCTGTGAGAATATGTCTAGAACTTGTTACATGTAAGTTCAATGTGACTACCGGTTTGTACATGTACTGTTCAAAGCTTTGTTCAAAACTTACATTTTTTTATTCCAGTGAATAAATAAATGTGAATGTGGCCATTTGAACTTTCAAGATGTTGAGGTGACAAATCTGTGTTGGTTGTTATGAACACTGTCATCTCTTGACCTTTTAAAACTGAAGAATGATTGGCCCCATTACTTGACTGGTTTTATACTGCAGCACGCATACAAGTTCCTTTCTCTATGACTGAAGCATGGGGTTAAGTGGCAACTCATAAATTGTTGCTTCAGACCCCCTGCTGTTAAAGAAAATGGCATTGCTTGGTTTTCATTGACGACCCTAACTCAATTAAAATAGAAAGAAAATTTGAACTTCAGAAATGTGCATTCTATGTATTTATTTTCTACATTTCATTAAATTTTATTGAGGTACCGGTAGCTACTGGTATGTGTGCATATATGCAGCCTATACAGAAACATTTAATATTTCTTTTAATAAATCTCTTGGCAAATTGGTCATTGTCTTGGACCTTTCCTTTCGTTAATGTCAACATTTTTCTTTATCCACTTAGAAAATATTGATTTGACCAGTAACAATTTTTGTTGCTTGAACAAGTTGTGCTAGAAAAAGGGGCATGGAAACAAAACTTGTGTACTTTAGACTGGATGACTTGCGATTGACCTGCATGTGTTTGCTCTTACGTGTAAATATCAGATACTTTTTAAATACACTGTATACGTTAAATGCATACCCCGTTTTCATACTTATGAATATCACTAATAATGACAGTGTTTTGTTTGTTTATATTTCCAGATGTGTCATAGTGCTGTACAATCCCAGAAGGAACAAGCAGTCCCACATATTCAGTCATTCCAGGTATTAAAGAAAAAGCATAGCACGTGATTACACCGATTACAGATTATTAAGTAACTTAATTAAAATGCGACATTAACAGAAATTTTGTGAGTTAACCAGAACATGAACACTAGGCTGTCACCATAGTAGTACCGGTACACACATGGTCACTGTGATGACATACATGTACAGCCTTACAGGCAGTTATGACCATACACAGCCAACAAATTCAGGATATCCTCATTGTTTCCGTTTTGATAACTCCAATTTCCTTTTCCTAATTGACAACGTATACATTAGAGTTTTTCATAGCTTACAGTGTACGGGTTTGGTACAGAATGCTTTTGGCTCCAAACTACCTTCAAATTGATTGGTTTTTCTTATAATGACAAATATTTTGCCAGACTTTACATTGTCAATTTATCACAATAGAGCGTGCATTTCTGTTCATGATGTAAAATCCATTAATCTTATTGGTCAGTATTCTTATTCAATCTATTAAGAAGGTGAAAAAACTCTCCTGCTCTAACTTGTTCCTAAAGTTCTTGAAACTTTGCCAGTAAGTTGAGTGATAGCAGTATTGATAATTCACCAGAACATAAAACAATACATGTACCGGTAGGCCTATATTTTTATATGCAGAAATGTTGCACGGGGTGTTATTTTGATTGGAGAGAGCAAATTCACATTACTACAGACAGTATTGCTAGGGACTTAGGAAGCTAACTGTTTTTCTCCCTCCACATTGCTGGGTGGTGGATAGATTGGCTATGAAACAACAAAGGACTAGTACTGTTGGTGCAAGTGTACTGGCACAAGAACAATGTACTGGTTGTACTAATATGTACCGTATAGTAAAAGGCTTTCATGAACATTTCATAAAATTTGTTGTTCCACTTTAAGTCATTTTCATAAAAGTACAATGTTCATGCTTGTACATGTAGCCTAACGTGCCCTCTTTCAACAATGAAGGCAATCCACTGTTTACTTCCAGTGTTTACAGCGTGTCGGCCATCTAGGTATTATTCACTACATGCGCAATGTGTAACGTGCCAATACAAAGAACCCATATTTGCTATGCTCTTTAAAGTTGGTATAACTTTGTTCCCTCAAAGTTTGATGTAAATACATGTACATTATTGTATACATGCATGACAGTATTAGAAGTTAGTGAATGGGCCTTTTTGAAATTGTTCTGTACATGCATACACTTTTTGTTAGTGACAAAATTCTATTAGATACAAAGCCCAACTAGTGTTTAAATGCTCATATACCGGTACATGGTAATGGCTAATGGTTAGGATTTTTAAAGACTTGTTTATCAAAATTAGAATGCTGAGCTTTTCCAGCAAACCTTGACTCTCACCTCTTTTCTCTTACAGAAAAACGATAACAGCTCTTGCCATTTCCGGTGATGGTAAAAATGTTGTTTCTGGAGAGGTGAGTGGAATTAATAATAAAGAAAAACATGAAAATCCCTGTTTTCGAATATTGAAAAAAAAAGAGCTCTTGCCTAAGGATATATGTTGTTTCTTTTTATAACAGATTTTGGAGCTTTGAATTTTGGTTCTTGACAAGTTGGCATCATTTTCTCATGTTGCTAAATTAAAATGCCCTTCTGTGGTAACCAATATTTGGGGTGATTTGTTGCCTTTGTGAAGTGCTTACTTGTTGTTTTGTACAGTTTGCGATGGTATCAAATGCAGATTTTGTCAAATTGAATTTTCATTCTACATGCGGGCATGCAACTTTTCTCGGACCAGCTGATTTCTTTTTTTTTTTACTTCCCATGTGTGTCATTCAAAATAGAAAAACACTGTACAAAGTCTTGGAAAGATTTGAATGTCTTCTTTTTTGTGACTTCCCAGTTGCATGTCTGTACATACAGAGGTGTGTACAAGTAATTATATTTGAGCTAAAATTGAAAATGTTTTCCTCTCATTTTCCCAGTATGGTCACAAGCCAGCCGTGCGTGTCTGGGATGTCGAGGAGAGGACCCAATTGACGGAATTGCACGGGCACAAATTTGGCATCAACTGCGTGGTAAGGGCATTCCATTGATAAACTATCTCCTCAAGTATGCCTGTCTTCTCACTGAATTACAACCTAAAAGGCTCAGGCAAATAAAAAAGACCGTTGAAGTAATAAATCAGTGAACAAACTCAGAATGAATAGTCATTGCTTATTTGGTGCCGCAAACAGTTCACAGGCGGCGACTTTTAATTTGTGGCAAGTTGGGGTTTTATCACTTTGTCCGCATGGTTTACATGCCTCGTCCATTTCCAAGGTGGCATCCGCATCGTCATCATTCGTCAAAAGTAACCCGGCCCTTTTTGTCAGCGCCCAATTGAGTTTGTAGTCAGGCCTCCTCTGATTGCGGCAATTATATTTGATGGTTGAGATGGCAGGGACAGACATGATGGAGTGGGACAGATGTTCCGTCTGGTCGTTGTTTGTACAAGAATCTTCTGGGATATCGATGATGTATAATGTGACTGTCACATCTGGTTATGGAAACCCGCCCGTAACAAGAGCATAATGCAGTCTCTAAAGGATACAGATGTTTCGGATGAAACTCTATATTCGCCTGTTGAGCCCTTGGCATTTATGTAATCGCTACTGTTGTAGTGATTGTACTACATTTAATAATTGATCATTGTACCTGAAATCTCATATTTTTTTACGTTGATGCAGCTGACTTCAAATTTCCCATAAAAGCTAAAATTCATTTTTGCTGGTCCCAGAGGGCCAGCCTAGTGCCCTCTTTGTACATATCTCACAGACTGACTGACTGACTGTCACTTGTGAGCCTGGCAGTGCTGTCGTATAGGATTGCCCCGTAACACCAATGAATTGCCTAGATTTTGGCCCATTGTGTATATTTGATGCATTAAAAGACTTCCAGTGAATAGCCATTGTGAATCATTTCAATAGAAATGTGCCCACTGGGACCAGTTTTACTAAGCTTGCCTTATCTTGTTTTTTCCCCTAATGCAATTCTTCTAGACCACATAAGGCCAAAAAAAAAAAGTCTCCGGGGTCTGGTATGGAGCTTGCCCAAAAAGTGGTGCGGCGACGCGTTTTAAAAAAAAAAATTTACCAGATTTTTTTGCTTCAAATGACAGCTGATGACTGCAAATGGTGCCCGACTAAACTTAGTGCAAATATATGGGAGTCCAGAGAGGCCACATAAAGCTTATTCTCGATCATAACCCCCTCTAAAAACACGTTAAAATTGTGCAGCAGCAGGATTCCAGTCAAACCAGTGAGTTTGGCGGTTTTGAGACATCATCTTTCATTGAAAAAAAAACCTTTTTCATTTTGCCGACGCGCATGGCTATGGCGACGCGCGCGCATACCAGAAACCGGAGACTTTTATTTTTGGTTTAACTGACGAAGAACCAAATCAACACACAGGTGAAAAATACCTCAATCACAAAAAAAAATTACTCAGAAGAAGTGTGTTTGGAAATACAGTCTTACATCCGTCTTAAGAAGATGACCCTATACACCCAAACCCTCCTAGACCCTGCAAAAAATATACCAGGAGAGTTGCAAGATTTGCAGCATTGCGGAAGGTAGAGACAGTGTACTGGTACTGGTGACTCTTGATGTTGAAGTAAAATAATGCGCCGTTTGCTTCCTGCTCAGTGGTGGAATTTTTCAGGATTCTGCAAGGTTCTTTGAACGTTTTTTTTTTAATAATACAGAATTAAGGACCAAGTTGTGGGTTCTTTTTTTTAAACTGTTCTCACAACTTTTTTGGATCTCAACAATAATATTGCTCATCAGGTGTGTGGTCTCCACGAATGAAACAAGTTTGTGTGTATTTGTACCACACTTTCCAGTCATCATAGTAACATTCCTCAATGCCTTTTTTCCATGAGAGCCCTATGGATTCTTAAATTTGATTCTAAAGAAAGCAAGTGTAAAGGCAGTGCATGTAGGATCATTTGCATTTATCCCAAAAGTAACCAACTGATGATTATCAGAACAATTACTTGAATTAAAGGTCCGTCTGTTACTAAGCACCCTGTGAAAGTGTTCCATCTGACTCACTTTCATTTAGAAGGAGTCAAGAAATGTACTGTACCGGTAGGTGATTTCAAATGATCAGTTAATGGTCTGATTTTTGGAATCAAAAGTGCCATACAAAATCTTGTTTCATGATCAAAAGGTTGTGCACGATTTTTCACTGCTTTCTCAAAAGTTGTAATATCCACTGAGCTGCAGCCTCAACAGGTTAGGTTTTAAATGTTCTTTTTGGATTTGAGTGGTGTTATTATTGGAAACAGACAAAATGCATGAAAAGCAAAGCTAAACAGGTACAACCAAATGCACCTGTGATTGACCCATGGGATGCGGACCCACGAGATGCCTCATAAGCATAGAGAGCACTGGGGACTCATTGAGTTGTCTGGTCTGATTGACAAGGTTTGGCCGTGATGACACACACACCATGGATGACATGATACCAGCCTCTAACCACATGTGTGTATGTGTAGCACTGATTCACTGACAAATGAGACTGAATAGGATACATGATCATTGTCATGTGGGGAACATGTGAGAATGACACAGATTTCCTGTCATGATACATCTATTTCACATTTGTGAACATGGTAGGGGGATTAGACTGTATTTCTTTCATCATTTGCAGCAAGACTTTTGCTGATGAAACAGGAATGTATGTTAAATCGTGGGGCATTTCACATCACGGGTGGCCAGTTTTACAAAGAAGAACTTTGAAAAAAAAAACAAAGGCAAAAAAACCTGCCACCCCCACCCACCCCACCCCCCACCAGAAAACAACCACCAAAACCCCCCAATCAGACGACATCAACCAAAGCAAATTTTTGACTCCGTCCATTTTATTACTATTTGCCTCCTCACTGTTTGATGAGAATTAATTGTGAAGGAATTCTGGTAAAAATTACACATAAAGATATAGTCCATCATTTGTAATTTGTGCATTTTGTTCGTTTGAAGCAACAAAAGTGTTCAAAATCTAATGAAGGATGCTGAGCAACTAACCTGATGAAGTTTCAGCTCAGCTTCAGCTGTATATTCCGAGAAAAACAGCATTCTAGGATCTCAATTTCAAATCAAAAGTTGCTGAATCATGTTTTGAATTGGGCCTGAATTCAGCGTCCGAGATGCGTTCTCACTGAGCCGATTGCAGCTACGTGATGTCGCAACAGCGTGCGTGTGTGTCGTGCCAATGCTTGCGCGCGCTTCACCGAATAACAAAACGAACTACTAATTTAAATTTTCCTACGGTGCGTCTTAAGACGCACCGTTGGAAAGGACTTCTTTCTTTGATTACTTCAAAATGACAGCTTGCCAGAAAGAATAATTTCACAGGGAGTTTAGTCCCCTTACTATCTTTCAACCAGTATGTTTTTCAACAATAATTACGCAAGTTACTTTTCGGATGGCTGCAAATGATGGACTATAGCTTTAAATTTTTCTGAATGCTCTTTGGTAATTTCTTGTATTTGTTATCACTTCTATGTTTATATACATGTATACATGTACATGCTCTTTTAATGCTGTTACTGCTCTTTACTCTTTAGAAAGTTCTACAGTTTTTTAAATTAGATTTTAATTTGCTGACCAGCAAAGTTATCATGGGGTCAGTAGGAAGTCCCCACAATTCGGTCCTAATTTCCCTAACAATGAAAAAAATTTGTCACAACACAGTCTCTGCTTACACTCATACGAACAAAAATCAAAATTCTGAAATGTTGTTTTGTATTGATTACGTTCATGCAGGCATTTTCACCCAACCTGAAGTATGTGGTATCGGTGGGGGAGCAGCATGACATGGTCGTCAATGTGTGGAATTGGAAGGACGGCAGCAAGCTGGCCGCTGGCAAAATATCTGTCAAGGTACATCTTAACTCTAGCAGTCACGTTTCTTTAACTATCTTTTGAACGTGTGACATTGTGTTAGTGATGGGCAGTATGGCTGTCTAATTTGAAGGTTGGAGATGCTGACTTCCTTTGCTGTGCTTGATTTTTCATGTTGGGGCATTTACCTAATATTTATCTTACTCATGTGCACTCATGGCCCTTGCTCTTGCAACCCTATCCTGCAAGTCATAAAGCAAGCTGCTTTTGTGTAGTTCACTGCAAAATTATGAAAATCTTTTTATAATTATGGGTTTGGAGTTGTATATTTTAATTGATATTGGTGACTGCCATTTTAAAATTAATTTTGTCAGACTTTCTTTGGAACCGGGCAGCAACTCTCCTAATTCTGTCACAGTTAGCATGTCATTAACATCAAACTAAAAAGCTGTGAATATTTTGTATCGACCTTGATAGGTTGGGCAGTGATTACTCTATTATGAATACGATTAGTCAGTAAAATGGTCATTTTCATTTGGTTTGCCATTACTTTTGCCATAATTTATTGCGTAATTCGCGGACTTATGAACTAAGAATTGGTGCGAAATGTCTCATAGCTACACAATAATGCGCAATATGGATTGCTGCGAAACGTACGCAATACATGTAAAAGGAAACATTAGTGGAGTTACGCCATTGCACAAGTAATCAGGGTGTTTTTTGGCTCAAGTTTCAATTCCCACCATGTAAAGGTCAGTTAATACTTCATGCGAATTTGACATCATGAAACATTTACTGTGAAGTTTGTGGGAGTCAAAATGTTTCAACTTTTGCAAATTCGCAGTGCGAAACCTTGATCTGACGTCAGAAATAAGTGTTTGCATTCGCTTTTGCGCTGAGTATGAACCGGCCAGCTTGTGGATTTTACTCACAAGCTGCCAGACTGCACTGAGTACACAGTGCTTATAAAATTACCTTGATGAAGGATATAACCCTATACTGAAACATCAAAATCACTGATCATGACCCTTACACTTACATTGTTTTTCTTTGTTTCCTTGTCCAGGTGGCTGGGTTTTCTTTCTCAGAAGATGGCAGTCGATTTGTGACTGCAGGGAACAGAAGCATCAGGTTTTGGTACATGAGCAGTAAGAGCAGGGTAGGTGTGCTCCACACAGGTTTGGTTGAAGCACGGGTCCTCTACACAAGGATAAACGACTCATCTGAGCTTGTGTACAATGTACGGAACGGTTTGTCTAGGGGTGTGATATGCTGCGTCCGGGTATAGAACAACACATAGAACATGTGGAACGAGACGCGCGTGCCATAATCACCGACAGCTAGTGTCCTGACAGAAATTTGACCACTAAAAGACTGCAGTCGCGCGCTGAGTCTCACGCACGCACAAAGCGCAAGTGCCATATCATGTCTATAACCAGAAATTTGGGGAAGTCGTTTATCCTTGTGTATGAAGTCTCCTTCATACACAGTTCAAATCTACAGTACATGTAGTTGCTACATGTGGTTATTTTACCTCCATGTAGAATGAACGGAGCAATTGCCTTGATTTAAAATGAAATTTGCAAAACTTCAAATTTCACTTGGGATTGCTTTTGTTCAATTTTTTGACAACAGACGAGAGAAACGTTTCCTCTGAACAGCCGCGCTGGCCTGCTCGGGGAGCAGAGAAACAACAATTTCTGCTCAGTGGCCTGCGGGCTTGGCGCCAACCAGTCCAAGACATACGCGGTCACCAAGTCGGGTCTTCTCTGTGAGTTCAACGAGCAGCGACTGTTAGACAAATGGGTCGAGCTGAGGGTAAGGACAGTTTGGATTCAGAATTTTATGAAGAAAAGTGATTTTTTTGAATAGGATTTGAATATTGGGTTTTGCCCTCCCAAAGACATAATTTCTATTAACAATGTATACTCAGTGTTTTCCGAGGACTTGCGAGAAAATTTACAAGCTTACATCCTGCTTTCTAGTGCAGATGTCGATCATACCACTCAAGCACCAAGCTTGCCGGGGTCGGCTGGCTGGTTCAAATCTCAAGCCCTTGGACAACACAAATTCAAATTAGTGGTACCAAATATTCAGCGGTACTAAATACCGTTTTTGTTCATGTTTTTTTTCTAGACCTCAAGTGCTTACTCGATTGTCGCGAGTGAAGAGTATCTCTTTGTCGGTTGTGCGGATGGAATTGTTCGTCTGTTCAGTACTTCCACGTTAAACTTTGTGGCCACGCTTCCACGACCGCACTTCTTGGGTGTGAACGTATCCGATGGAATCGACCCAAGGTATAGAAAAATAAGCTGATTTTATCCACAAAGGACCTTGTAGAAAGAATATTTGACAAGGACTTTAAGTTATGGACTCCATGCTATGGAGTTATGGACCCTAAGTACGCCCTCAGTGGTGAAAAGGAGAGAGTTGGGGGAGACCACTGGGACAGATCTCTGGAATGCATTGCCAGCATACACCTGGTGCTCCTGGGAAGATGCTACATGATTGTGCACATTCAGAACAAACTTTGTCGTGCCTGCTTAACACAATATGCATTATGCATTACTTTGGTGGATGTGCATGTCACACACTGTGCGCACATACATGTTTACGTTACATACGTAGTGTGGACATTCCTTTGTTTTCATGTAGTTAAGAAAAACCTGTGAAAAAAATCATTTTGCTCACACTGAAAACTCTTTTAACCCAAATATTTGTTCTATGATTCCCTTTAGTGTTTCTCTTCATTTTGCCACGGATAAACCTAACCCAAAAATGCCTCTAAACCTGTTTTCCAGAGAGGAGGAAACACTGTGTGGACGTGGGCAAGTCCACACAACGTCGTTGCCACCTGGTTTATGTGGACCTCTTTTGTCCGGAAGTCCACACAGAGGATGTAATGCCTGTACACATTTTGATTACCGTATTGGTAAAATGTACAGTTAGTGGATGCGAAGCCAGAGATGTGGGACTACATCTTTGTAGCCATTTCTATGTAAGGAATCTGTGAGACCTGTTTACCAGCAAGTGCTGTGTAAATTATAGATTCATTTGGCTCCTGTGTTTGTGTTTGACAGTCACATGATCACCCACCGAGAGAACGCAAGATACCCAGCGGCCATTGCAATAACTTATGACGACGTCAGCAAGAAAGTAAGTCTGTGATTGGGATCATGTATTCACCTTATTCACGGAGAAGCCATTTTTGATCGTGTTCCCTGAATCTATTTTGTAGATTGTAAACTGTTGAATGGGATGGTGCCAGACTATTTTATGATGGGAGTGCGTGCCAAGCCTCACTTAAATTTTCTTAGATGTGGCTTCAAACATTAGGGTTTGTTTAATCACAAATTTTAAACTATTCAGCAGAGCTTACTGGTATTAATTTGTAATGAACTTTTATTTGGATGCTTTAAATTCTGCTCGCAAGTTACAAAAATGAAAATTTTACTTCGCTTTCAATTTAATATGGTCGACTCGTGAATGAAGTCCATTGTCGATGAGGTCAGGCACCAAAAATGCACCAATACATTGCTGCAAATCAAGCCTTAGTTGGGAAACTACCAACGTTAATTTTCATTTAAAATTTTGTTAAATCCTTATATTATATTGAAAGGAGCTTCACCAATTAGCAACTGTACTACATTGTATTACATTGTGTTTATTCACTGAAGACTCCATAAAACCATAGAGTGCCCTTGGGTATTTTCAGGCACTACAGGAAGTTGAAGGGCAGTTTCAGGCACTACTGTGAGTGCTCTGCCAACTGAGCTATCCAGACCACTGTTGTCCAAATTTAACAAAGATATCAACAAATGGGACCCAACCCAACAAATGAGTCAAAGTCACCAGAGCTACATATGGGTTATGCATGTTTATGGGCCCTTTTACAAATCATCATTGTCGTTTACTTAGTCAGTTTCCCTTTGTGGTTTGAAAAGTTGTAATAAAAAGTCGTATCGACTCTGAGTCATCCTTGTCTGCTATTTCCCGGGTTTGCAACATTGCTAATGTTACTAGCATCATGACTTTGGGCGTGATCCCTGGCTACATGGCATATACGGGTTTATGGCTTCTGACTAGTGGCCCTTGAACAAAGACATAGACAAAATGGGGAACCGCCAACATAGGGCTGGGCTGGGTAGCTCAGTTGGTAGAGCACCGGAACAGCAATCGGGAGGTTGCAGGTTCAAACCTCGCTCCAGTCAATTTCATTGTTCAACTTTACAAAATAATATAACTTGGATAAAAGTAGGAACAAGTAACATTTTCCCTCACATGAGATGTCAATTTGAGTGATACTACAAAAATGAAGAGCTTTTTGCTCAATCTTCAGTGCATATGGAAAAAACTGATCAGTGAAAAAATACGTCCCTGAGGTCTCATTTCATTGTATCTGGTCACAAAATTGAGAGACTGCCAAAATGCACTTGTTAGCTCAGTTGGTAGAGCCCCGGTATGGCGTTGTGGAGTTAGCAGGTTCAAAGTTAGCAGGTTTGGTTTTGGTGATCCATAATTTGACTGCCCTCCAGATATAACTCTTTACTCATTATTCTGATACATGTACTTTAGGTAACCTGTGTCTACAATGACCACAGTTTGTACGTGTGGGACGTCCACGACGTCAAGAAGATTGGCAAGCAGCGCTCCTTCCTCTACCACTCCTCCTGCATATGGGGTGCGGAGGTGTACCCCTCGCTGATTGCTGGGGACAAGGAGGCCCTTCCTCCAGGGTCCTTCCTTACTTTTGCCTCGGATGACACCATCCGGATATGGAATGTTGATCCCGCGATGAACACCGACACGTTCAAGAGGAATATCTACAGCAATGTAAGCAGGGGGTTCCTTCAAGGGTTGCGGCGTTATGTGATACTGAACTTGTGTTACTGTGGCTGAGTTCTTTGGGTGTTGTTATGGTGTAGTGATTGTACTGCTATTGTCCTTAAGCAGGATACTCTGTCACAATGAACTATGAACTGCCCTCCATCTGTGAACAGGTAGATGCATTGATGGGTAGATAAGTTTGTTTTGCCACATACCTTTCATATTATGATGGTTGTGAGGCCTGTATAGACTCTTTGAAATTAAAAAAAAAAAATTATTTCATGACTGTAAAATTTCACATTCCACCCACAGTGAGTTTGGATTTTTTTTGTCCACTTTATTCCCTACTTACCAGTCAGACCTATACATGCAATTTCATATTTCCTTAGCTACGTAAATAACTGCTAAAGTAAAGATTTGCTACTGCGTGCCACAGCGCCCTCTTGCGTGCACACAGTAGTCGGAATCTTGGCTATTATCTCCTCTTTCTTTCTTCAGCACTTAAAACAGTGAGATGTGCTTTCAGTGTTCAACAAAACATTCAATTTTTACAAGATTTAATTACTAATTGTTCCTATTTTTCTCAAGATTTGCTTCTCTATTTGGTCACCTCACGTGATGCCAGTTCAGCGCAATGTGTTCAAGTTCAGCAAATGTTTTTTCAGTGTCTAGAAGATGGGTACGCATCATCCTGGACCTATTTGCACATGTTTCTGAATATTTTCCTGCCAAATTGTGATCTCTCTAGGAGCTTCTGAAAGTCATTTACGTAGATGATCAGCTTGAGCACCTGTGCAGCACGGGCTCCACGGCCTCGGACAAGGCAGAGTCGGCCACGGAAGGCAAGAACGGCATCCGCTGCATCAGCCTCAGCGCTGACGGTCAGTTCCTGGCCTCGGGGGACCGGTCGGGCAACGTGAGGGTCCACGACATGCAGTTCATGGACGAGGTGCACAAGATTGAGGCCCACGACTCGGAGGTGCTGTGCTTGGAGTTCTCAAGACCCGAGTCAGGTTTGTTATAGGATCTCAATAATTGCCTTTTAGGCATTATGTAAAGCATTTTTGCATTGATGCAAGTTTGAGTGTGAAATATGGTTAACCATACATAGCTTGACTAAGTAAAAAAACCAAAGTCTGTCACAAGCCAATATGGCCCAGCAGGCTGGTGTTAATTTCCAGTTTCAGTAGCAAGAAATGATTGAGAATATTCCATTCTCCCTGAATGGGATGCCAGTCCATTGCATGTTACTCCCTGGCTAGGACTGGTTCTCATTTATCCTAGGTGGGTAGAGAGAGGCAAGTGGTGGTGAAGTGGTTTGTCCAGGGACACAACATATGTCCAGCAGCTGGATTCAAACCCCTGACCCACTGATTTTGAGTCACGAACCCTAGCCACTAGGACATACTCCCCGATAACTTTACTAACTTCACTCAAACCCATGCCAATTGACTATGGGTTCCGTGCACAAGTACCCCCTCAACGTTAAGGAGTGGGAGAGTTGGGGGAGACCACTCGGAGTGACATTCGAACGCATTGCGGACAACGCCTGACGCTCACCCGAAGATGCTATGGTTTTGTGCACATTCAGAATGAACTTAATCGTGCGAACCTTGTGGTATAATAATAATAATGATAATACATACACGAACTAGTATGCATGTGTTCTACATAACCCCCGAGGACCGACACACAAAGGGAGAACAACAGATCCTTTCAGTCCTTGGGAGTTGGGTCTTTTGTTGGAAACGGTCCTCTGTGGTAAGTTTGTGTGCTTAGTCTATGGGAGAGTGTTATATTACAGGGTCAAAGGGAAACACAAAGTATTGTCCTCGAGAGTATAGTAAAACAAGAGTCTGTGCGCATGCTGTGTGTCCTGTCCACGGGGCTCTCAAATTTGGTAAATAAGCGCCCTCTCTTGTTCACGCACGGAGCCCTTTGTTGGACAAGCCAATTTAGGTTGGTTCAGTAAGTGATGACATTTTGACCATTATTTGACCAGAAACATTTGCACTTCAATATTTAGCATGAGTTGACCATAGTTAACCAGTTGTCTTTGATCAAACTTTGCCCCTTTGCTGTAATTGCGAAGACTGTGACCCATTCTAAAAGTTTATTTCATTTGTTGCATTGTCCATTGCTTTGTCTATTATTTGTCATAGGAAGTAGTAATTGTAGTATTTAAAGACTTTGTTTATTTGTTTGTCATGAAATAAACTTTTTGTTACAGCATCAAACATAAAAGTGAAATTTTTTGAAGGCTGTTGAAAGGAGACAAACATTTTGAAGCTTCACTTGATGTGTTCTATTGATAGGATACTACCTATTGGCCTCATCAAGTCGAGATCGGTTGATCCACGTCTTCAATATGCAAGAAGATTGTTCCCTGGTTCAGACTCTAGACGACCACTCGTCATCCATCACAGCTGTCAAGTTCACTCGTAAGTTTGTTTATCGATTCCTCCAAATAAACTAAGAAAGACAGGGACACTCAAAACAAAGTGTGATGCGTTGTTTAAAATCTATGCAATTATCAACTTCTCCCCCGAAAATGTTAAATTGCTATTTTTCAAGCAACGCAAAGTACTTTTGAATGAGTCGTCAGCCGACAAATCGGGCCACATTTAAAATTTTGAATTATTGCGTCCTCCGACAATAATTCAGTTCTTTTAGGATAGACTGGTTCCCACACCTATTTGAAGCGAAAATGTATGGACTGGGAACCGGTCTACTCACAAAGTAGATCTGTTTGTGTATATTAAAAACGGGTGTGAAATCTCAGCTTTAAGACTGATTTCAGCTTTTTTTGTTTAGGATTTCAGCTTTTCCCCTCACTTGCTGTGTACAAGTTCAGCTTTTTTACAAAAAAAAAGCTTATAAAAAGCAAACCAAATTCTCTTTGGATTCATTTTGTTACAGTTCTAATTTAATTTTGCTTAACTGCTCCCCCCCCCCCTGCTTTGTAACATACACGCAACCACAGGAGCACTTGACAAATTGACTCAAAGATTTTATAAACTGTCATTTTCCATTTAACAAAATCAGGTTTTTCCTAAAAGTGTTGACATGTCAATCAACTGATGCGTATAAACACAGCTCAGCAATGTCACAAAGTTTGCTGGTTTTTCTTCATTAATTTCCTTGATTTGTTAATCAAATTTTTTCTTTTAAACCCTTTTGGAAGCATTAAAAAAGGTTTGCAGTTTGGATATGGGACGTTACCTATAAATAATGATAATGAGTTTCTTATATCGCGCCTTATTAAAAAACAATCATAAGGAGCTGTACAGTCTTAACCAAAGCACAATATACAAAACATATTAAAAGAAAACAATAAAAACCAAAAAGCCCAAAGCATTCCAAATACTTTTATTATTATTTACCATTTTTTCAAAAATTGTGGCCCAACACATCGCCTAGCATATCATTCTCCCCCTACCGCTCGAGAAATTCCCCCCTCCCCTGAGGTGGAAACATCTGACATACATTGATTGAATCACTGTCCTATTTTCTTATTTTCAGAGTGCAATGACAGGCTTCAGATGATCAGCTGTGGAGCTGATAAGGCACTCATGTTCAGAGTGGCAACACAGGTAAACAGCAGAAAAATTATCCTTTGTTTCCCACTCTCCAACCTAATTCAGATTAACATTTCTGGAAGGCATTTTTTTCTCTGTAATCTGTATGATCGTCATTTAGTGTTATCCTGCTTTGCATTTGGATGGGTTTGATTACATATGAATTGCCATATTATTGTCAAGTTTATTGATTGTGGTTTAATCAATTTTCATTTTAATTGGTAGTTCACATTACAACTCTTTATCTGTACCCTTAGGGAGACATTTTGTAGTTAATAATCATACCTTTTGGAGACAGGCAACATTAGGGAGACATGTCTATGTCTCCCAAAGGTCACAAGTACCCTTTAGAGAAGAGTTTGGGATATTTTCTTTTAAGGAAAGTGAGATAGTGGGGAGTCATATAGGGAAAGTTGGGTTGGGTCAGGTCAGCCGCTTCAAAAGTTATAGATCGACAAACTTTTGTGCACAAGTCTATGGGAATGTCTCCCAAAGGACTCATTCTCGGCAAGTAATATTACAAGTATCATTTGTGTCATCATGATCATCTTTTTCATTATCTTCATCCTTTATGTAAAGACCACACAAATCGATCATTTCAGTCACAAGTCAGCTACATGTAGTCTTAAGTATAAAGCTACGTGTATGTTAAAGTGAAATGTGACAAAAGTATTTTTGGACATTGCTCATACCCTGTTACTTGCACCTGAACTTGTACAAGTTCACTGATTAATTGACTTTGGATTATGATTGACTTGTAATAAACTGGATTGCAAGCCTGTTGTTTGTACTTAATTCATTAAAAGTCTAGTCAAAATGTGCCCCAAAAGCAAAAGACGCCAAAAGTGATGACATAAAGAGTTTATTGCTTATTTCACCAGAATCCAGACTTTGAGTTCATCCGCAACCACCATGTTGTCGGCAAGACAACGATATACGACCTGACGGTGGATCCCACGGAGAAATATGTGGCTACTGCCTGCCAGGACAGAAATATCAGGTTCGTCAAATTCTGAAATTGACATTTTAAGACATGTACACAATTTTTAAATTTTTTTATTTTTTATTTTTTCATTTTAAAGTTGAATAAAGAAATTATTCGTTCCAGCACTCTACCAACTGAGCTATCCAGCCCTATGCTGGCAGTTCCCCAATTTGTCAATGACTTTGTTAATTTGTTTAGACACTTCTGGCTTTCTGTTGAGTAAAATACTTCCCTTGCTCTTACCCAATGTTGTCTTCTAGAGTTTACTACTGCCGTTTTTTTTTTCAACCATAAAATAGGGACGCATGTGAATTGTTTTCGTTTTGCTGGAAGAACACTTACCTTTTTCGCAATCCATGGGCAGAAGCAGAACTTTAAAACAGTGTTTGTGTTCAAAATTCTGTAACTTGAAAATTACATGAGTGATCTGAATGATTCTTGTACTAAAAGAAAGCTTAATGACTGGGCTTTCATATCCTAGATTTTGAAAGTGCTACAGGCAAAACTTCATTCAAAAATTGCTCCTGCCATTTGGGTTTCTTTTTTTTTTTACTCACCCTGTAGTAGTATTATCATTCGTACCTTTTGTGAACAATCTGAACAGCAACTTCAGAGATTTACATTTTGGGGCTGGGTTTCTTTAACGGGTACCCGGATACCCATGTACTACCCATAAATGCACACCCTAGTTTTGGGGCCCAAACAGGATTGATGATTTCCTGGGAAAAAACCCAAAACAGACATGCTGAAACAGAAAAACCAATGCTCTCATGACTACCCTTCAACATTTCTACCTTTCAGAATCCACAATGCTGTGACCGGCAAACTAAAGCGAACCTACAAGGGTTCACAAGGCGAGGACGGGACACTGATCAGGGTGGAGCTGGACCCATCTGGGATGTACATAGCCACCAGCAGCTCCGATAAGAGCGTAGCCATCTTTGATTTCTACTCTGGGGAGTGTGTGGCAACCATGGACGGTCACTCCGGTGAGAATATTTAAGATGTTCTGTCCGTGCTCTTCAACGTGGACAACTTTTTGTTCAGACAAATTTTGAAAATTATTTTTTATTGAAATGAAAAAAATTACGATTTGTTTTCTATTTCGGGCATCTGCAACCATCTGACGCAAAGTGGGTTTGTTTTTTTTTTGGGGGGGGGTGCCTTTGGGCATAAACATATCTGTTTGCAGAGAGACTGGTTCCTGGTCCCTACATTATTGATTCTGATGGGGGTTAGGAACCAGTGTACCAAAGCGATGGGGCAGTGTGAGGCGGTACAGGGAGTAACATGCAGGGCAGTTTGGGATAGAACAGGGAGTGGACAGGCAAGGTGATTTGGACAGTACATGAACTAATGGGTTAATATTATACTTTGCCCATCGCCAGTAAATTTGTATAAGCACTGTATACTTTGTTGTTAAAGAGCTTGTGAGGAAAAATTCAAAAGCTTACTCGGTAGGGACTGGAACCGAAGTTCTCACTTATCCCTTGCTGAGAGCTTCATTTGAGTATATTTTCAAAACAAGAAGATGCTAAGTACTTTTACATCTCATATCTCGAAATCAAAATAAAAACAATAAACTTGTGCTTTACTTCCAGAATTGGTAACGGGCATTAAATTCACCAATGACTGCAAGCATCTCATTTCAACATCTGGAGATGGGTAAGCAGTGTGTAGCAGTTTTACATTTGTTGAATCTTTTTGTTTAACTTTGTGTAAGTCAGAATAGATAAGCCACAATAGATTATTTATTTTTACCTCATTACAAAAATAATAATAAAGAAATAAACGTACGAATCTATCATTTGTCTTGATAATCTGTCGGATTTAGTTGAATGCGTCTTAAGTTTGGTGAAGTCGGTCCTAGGACGAGTCACGAGATGAGATGAGTTACCTTTCCTAAGACATGTCTTAGGGTTTTGTGAAATCTGCCCCAGGGATAGCTTAACATGTTCTTTCTGCTTGATAATACCCCTTTTTAAAGTAATGGCTTTACATTAGAGTTGGAATTGAGTCAATCACAAGCCATGGAAAGTCGATCACAAGTCATTTCACAAGTAACATGGTATGACCAATGTCAAAGGAATGTCTTTGTCACAGTTGATATGAATAAAATTTGAATTGACTTGAGACTTGTGATGACTTGTGATTGACTTGTGATGACTTGTGATTGACTTGTGATTGACTTGTGATGACTTGTGACTTGTGATTACTTGTGATGACTTGTGATGACTTGTAATTACTTATGCTGATTTTGTGACTGACTTGATAAAAACTCTAAGAATTGGAAACCGCATTTGGGTTGGACAGTTTTCAGTAGTTGTATTTTAATTTCTTTTAAAGCCTGCTCATTCAGTTTTCTTTTCTTGCAGGTGCATCTTTGTGTGGCGGCTGCCATGGGGCTTCACACACAACATGAAGGAAAGACTCAACGAGATGGGCCAACACATGAAGGAAGCCCCTTCATATCCACAGCTGAGGTGAGTTGAGTTTTCATACTCACGTGACTGAATACAGTTTCTGGTGACAGTCAAGCCAATACACCATGTGGTGTGGAAAGGGTTAAAGGCACACAGGAATCGTTTTGCTCTGTGTGCATTTTTGTCCCCTTGAAGTAACAAAATTGTTAAGAATCTTAAGTAGGGTACACTACAACAACCAACCTGTGGAAGTTTTAGCTCAGGGGTTACTATACATTGTGAGAAAACAAATCTACAATTTTCAGGGTTTCGTAAAGGATTCCATGGCCAACACATGTTTAAAAAAAAAGGTGTGCCCACAGACACACTTTTTAAACCACCATCAATAATTGTTTTCATCCAAAATGATAGCGATTCAGGCGGAATAATTTTAAGGGTCATTTTGGACCATCCCTATCTTCGCTTTGAGCAAGGTTTTTTTCTCATTACATCAGTAGGTACGTTTCGGGGTAATCACCAATGTTCCTACAAACCTTTAAAGAGTTGACAAATTGGAAGAAGATTAGGTTGAATGACTTTTTTTTCTTTCATAAAACATTTCTTTGAATTGGTGATATGCAAGTTAATATGGATGAAGCTTCTTTAAGTTGAATTTAATAATGATATTGTTGTTGGGGTTTTCTTGTACAGACGGGGCACCTTTGTCATACCGCCCGAGCTTGACCCAAAGGTCGCCGCCATAGAAACCAGAAGCAATACCCATAGAGCAACGATGTTGGTCAACAAAGGAAGCAAGCTCGTTGCCGGAGATGGTGAAGAAGAGCAGGAGGAGGAGTATGAGGATGGAGAAGGGCGAGATGAGACTGACTGGCATGCAGGACCTAAACTAGGTAGGTTAGCTTCTTCCGTTTAACCTAACTGCCTTTAGGCCTGTGCTGAATCTACCAAATATTGAATATTGGATAATCATCCAAATATCTGAATATTATTTTTTTCGATAAAAATATTTGATAATGAGCATTCACAAGAAGATAAAGGAATAATGCTGTTTTATTTGTATAAGTTGGCATGTTGTATGGCATTTAGTTGTTTGTCAAATGCAACTTTTGTTATTCACTTTTGGTGGAGCATTCAAGGATGCCAGTTTTCCGGCTACAGCCAGAAATCTGGCTTTTGGGGAAAATCAGGCATCCCTTTGCAGGCCCGAAAATTAATCCTTGTGTTGCGCACATGAAAAAAAGTTAAAAAAAAAAAAAAAAAAAAAAATAGCCACATGTCTTTTTTCAGCCAATAGAAAAATCTGTTACAAGTTGTTTATTGTCGCTAATGGGCCAATAAGGAAAGTGGTAGATGCGCTTTGTGTCAGCTTGCTTGACTAGTACCAAGTGCACTTAATCAAATTTAAGTTTTTTGCATGGACTCGCCACATTCAAATTATATGGGCAAACGATGGTTTTAAAAAGTCCGTGCAGAAAGAGAATGGCACATTCTTACTTCCCTTAGCATGGATCACGATGACTTGGGACATGATGTTGGGGTAATTGCATGTTTCTGTTGATCTGCATCGTCACTTCTAAGGAAATCAATATTCATTTACCTTTGCAGACAGCACTGCAGACCTTCCCCTGTGGGCAAAGAAACAGGTCAGTTTACTACCTTACTTTTTACTCAGCTCCAGAACAAGGGTTGCCAGTAGAAACTTCTGTAAAAAAAATAGCTGTGTTAGTTACCTACAACTCACTGATGGCAGATTCTTTATTCAGTTGTAATGTGTTCTGTCAAACCTAGACGCTTTGGGGCAGAGATCTAAATGAAGTTATGACCGAAAAATGAGGTGACTTTTTTTTTTTTTTTAGTTGTTGCACTTTCTTAGTATGTCTAAATGTACTGTAAAAGTTTCAGACCATCATTGTGTCTGCATATGTGATTTTTTTTGTTTGTGATTGTAGAGGTGTACTAGATCAAGACATGGAAGAGGAAAAATTTTAAAAGACAATGTGTCTGTTTGTGACATCATGAACTTCGCAAAATGGGCATAATTTACAGGCATAATGGGGAAGATACATACATCAACAATATTTGAAAAGCCTATTTTCAACCCAAGTCTGTTGTCTGATAAAACACATCACAATTGAAATTCCCATGACGTTTTTGTGCCATTGTCTTAGGTGTGTGGAGAGGACCTACCCAGCCCGACCACCTACAGCAACCCAGCCCAGCCTAGAGGCCGCTGGGCCCAGCGCCTAGACTCCAAGGGCTTCAAGGTGAAGTCTGAATGGGACGCCCACCGTGATATCGAGCTCAAGCTGGAAGACGGCATAGGTAAGTCTAGATCCAAGACTGGACTTTTGGATTTTGTCCTTTTGTTTCCCCATACTGAAGCTGGTCCTACTCCTTGGCAAGTGCAGTCAAGCCACTGCAGTGCTAGGGGCTGCTGTCAACAAGATGAATCGAATCATGTCTTAGCAACTTTGGCAGCTTGACCCTCCAGGCGTGCATTTGTTGGAATATAAGTATGCTCGGAAAGTAATGTGTGCACACATGTACACATACTACTACCTGCTTGCTGAGCTGCTACTTAATCTGACATGACAACTCAGATGCAGTCATCGGGACGTCATGAAAATTTGGTCTAATTCCAATTCTCCATAAAAGTGTGTGTAAATATGCAAGTTTTATACTTGGGATTATTGCACTGAAATTTAAATTCTTTTAGGGATTTAAAACAAAAATTATCAATTGAACAAAAGTGTAACATATTTTTATGAGTGGAATTATTGTGTTAGTTTGAGGAAATATTGAAATGTTTGATGTCTGATGACTATTAAGTTAATGATTATAATTCATCATGCTTGTTATATAACACTCAAGCAACAGTAACTAACAGTCTTCACAACTGACAGGAATGGAAATACTTAATCTATTGAATTGCTGTTTCAGGTTGCGTGACATCTTATGAAATCTATCTGTTCATTTGGCTATCATTTGTTGTTGCAAATTCCAGGGGCGCATGCCATTGCCAGGGCATGTCCTCCCCTCTTTAGTTTTTTAACTAGGAGGGAAAAAGTTTAACTTCACTATTTTATTCCCAATTTGGTTACAGATCGTAGGCGTTACACCGTGGAGCCAGAGAACCTGGCCGAGCAAGTAAGACATTTTGCCCTTTTGCAATCTGTAAGTATCTTTCTCTTGCCAAACTTTATTGTGTTCCTGATTCAGCACGTTCACCTCTGGTTTTGGGGCCACACTGGTGTTGCCACTCATGACGACCCTCTGCACGACACCCTGTGTGTTAATACTGACTCCACTGACTTGTCATGATCTGGGTAAGTTTGGAATGAAGGAGCGAGGCCGATTGTGAAGTTACGCTCCCGTGTTCCTCCTGTCCTATGAGCTCCGTGCGCCAACAAGAGAGGGCGCTGTTTGACCTCTTTTGAGGACCCCGTGGATGGAAGACACTATGTGCACGTACTGATTTTGGCCCCATAGCTTTAAAGGTATAGTCCATCATTTGTAGTTTGTGCATTTTGTTCTTTTGAAGCAAAAAAAGTGCTCGAATTCTAAAGAAGGGTACTGAACAAGTAACCTGACGAAGTTTCAGCTAAGCTTTAGCTGTATATTCCGAGAAAAACAGCATTCTAGGATCTCGATTTCAAATCAAAAGTTGCTGAATCATGTTTTGAATATGGCCTGAATTCAGCGTCCAATACACGTTCTCACTTAGCCAATTGCAGCTACGCCCTGTCGCACACTGATCCGACGAATTATAGCAACCGCGCGCGCGCGTTCGTCGTGCAAATGCTGGCGCGCGCTTCGCAGAATAACAAAACGAACTACTGATTTGAATTTCCTATGGTGCGTCTTAAGAAGCACCGTTGGAAAGGCCTTCTTTCGTTGATTTCTTCAAAATGACAGCTTGCCAGAAAGAATAATTTCACAGGGAGTGTAGTCCCCTTACTATATTTCAACCAAGAATGTTTTTCTACAATAATGACACCAGTTACTTTTCGGTTAGCTGCAAATGATGGACTCTAACTTTAAGTACGCACAACTCATTTTACTCGGAATCTACACAAGCCATAGTGTCTTTGCGTAAGCATCAGGTGTCGTTGGTAATGCGTTCAAAGTCTCTCCCAGTGGTCTCCCCAACTCTCCCTTTATTACCGTTGAGGGGGTACTTGTGCATGGAGCCCATAAGAGAACAGGATCTACTTTTAGGTTATTTGACTCAATTAGCGCCATTGAAAACCAACAGGACTGTCATGGGAAGAGGACTGGGACTTGATTTTTGAGGGAAATGTTGGGGGTAAATGATGACAAAGACGATTAAATGAAAAGTGAAATTGAAAATGGCAATCAATGGTGAATACACTAAACTGCATTGATTTGCATAACATCAATTAGAAAATGGGTAAGGAAATCTGGTTTTGTACAAAAAAAATATCATAAATTATTTAAAGAAAATAGGGTCTGTAGAATAAGAAGATACTTAGTGCTGGTTAAGTCTTTGGAATGAAGAAAGGACTAAAACTAAGGACTAAATCTTAAGAGGGGCTGTTGTAGCTTCACAATTGCAGGAATGAGGCTGTGTCCAGATCTGGGGTCTGCTGAAAGGCTGTTGGTCGCAATCCAGTTAGGTACTTGACGGGCCTTAAGGGCTACATCTACCTCAGTAATGTAATTATGACTGGTAGAAAAAACGGAGCTTTTAACTTAAAGAGACTCAAAAGTATGTGGATGCAGCCGTAGTCACATGTTATGAATTAATGAGGCATGCTGAAAAATAATTAGCACAATATAGTACTAATTTTGTTTTGGACTCACTCGTCTTTTCTTCTATATTTGCATTAAAATTAGATCAAATTAATTGAATGCATTTGTGCATGGAACAAAGTTTCATATTTGACAATAGCATTTAAAGCAAGATGTTGTTTTTGTTTTTTGATGTGTTTTGAGAAAACTACATGTACCAAGAGACGGATGATCATAACGTCAACATTTCATCTGCAAGAGCACTTATTATTTATTTTACGTCTTCAGGGTATATTTGGTGATCTAATTCATTTCTTGTCTGAACTAACTGCATCATTAGTCGTGAGATTTAGTCGGGTTGAATTTATTTTGCTTTTCTTCAGTTTGAAAAATTCGTCATTTTCTGTGATAAAATTTACATGTTTTTGTCACTTGCAAATCTTCCTCTGGATACCAGAGTATCAGGCAGAAATTTTTTCATGTATTTCAGCTCTAAAACAGAGGCAGTGGATGATTTGCTTGAATTCCACCCATGTTTTCCTTCAATTTGTTTTTGTTTGTACCCAAAACCTGCTGTATTCTGAACAAGACAAGTCAAGCTTAATAGAACTGATCCCAGAGCACGCAAACTTCTATTCAAATTGATTCAGAGAATAGGCTGTAGTGACAGTTAATCATTGAGATAGGTAACCGGTCTATCTCTCAAGGGACAGTCTGTCAGTGAGAGAGTAAAGCAAATTTGGCAGTTGAATTTCGTGAGCCAGTTACTGTAGGGTTGCTCCTCTTGGATCGTTGTACTATTCCTGTTTGTGTTACGTTAGTTTACCCCATAACCACCTGAAATCTAGGAACTCATTGTGTTGGATTCTGATGGATTCAGCACAGTAAAATGCAGATACCATCACTTAGGGAATCAAGACCCAAAGTTGCCACTGCCCAACTAAGAATATGCCAGTGTTACTGCAGTCACATGCAGAGTGTTGGGGTTTTCGTGGATTAAGAAGGTTCCATAGCATAAAGGACCCAAAGGCACTGATCTCTATCATGTCTATACTAATTGGCCTGGACTTGCCGTGCTACATGCCTATTAGCCAAAAATGCACCTTGAAGCAACTGATCGGCCATCTTGGATCCCCATAATACCATGCCAGGATGTACATGTACCTGCACATCATTACACAATTAATGGTTTTTTTTCCAATTAAAACAACAATCCCCATAAAATTAAATTATGCTTTTGATGTTGGCAAGTCCTAGGAATATAGCTGTGTAAATTTCAAAAAGCTGGTCAGAAAAATTAAATTTTGTATGTTCACCGTCTTAACTCTGAAGAAGAAATCCAGTACCAACCACCTGTAAAAAAAAAGTTGTGTCTACTCTGTGTGCATCATGGGTGACCCAAGATGGCCGACAGCTGCTTCAGTATGTGGGCATTGTCAGCCAGTCCAGTTAGTATAGACATCAGTGTTCAAGGATAACATGTACATGTGGCAAGCCATACAGAGAGCTGCTTTAAGATGCCTTCAAATCAGGGAACACAGTTTGTTGTGCATGTGCATAATTTTATATGTTTGTTTATAATTGACATGACAGAAGTAAAACTGACTTGTAGAGTTGATACACTTCTGTTGAATCTGTTCGACTTGTCTAGTCTAACCACCATCTTTCCTCTGTTCACTTTCAGGCTGCAGTAGCAGAACATGAGAGGCTACAGGTAAAGAATATTGTTACAAAATACACCAATTTTTCTTTTCAAGAACACCAAAGAATATTCAAACGTCCAATTCAGGCCTAATGCAACTATCACTCATTTTGAACTGGCTCTCCCGATTTGTGGCATACCAAAAATGTATTTTGGGCGACTCAGTTTGACTCAAATAGAATTAGGTTTAATACAGGCAAACTTAATGCCTGAATTTTTATTGACTGAGCTTCTGGAGTTGTTTCTAGAGACTGCAACAGTTGAACCACTTTTGATCACAGTTGACCAGCCAATTGATAGATTCAAGATTTGCAAAACGATTTCAGGGTAGCCTTGACGTCTTTATAAACAAAGACAAGGCAGGCCTAGTAAAGCTGGCCCCAGAGTACACAAAATTCTCTCCAATCGATTCAGAACAGCTACTCACTGGAAGCCTTTAAATGCATCTGGTGTACACAGTGGACCGGATTAAGCCTATTACGGGGTAATCCTATACAATAGCACTGCCCGGCTGTCTTCACCAGCCAACCAGGCTAAGCCACAAGTGACAGTCAGTCAGTCAGTCAATGAATCTGTCCGGTACAATAAATACTATAGGCTGGCCCCTCTCTGACCAGGAATAAAATGTTTATCAACTTGTCATACAGAGAAAATCACCTTCATCGAGCTTCCTTAGAATGTTGTGGTTAGGGGGAACTCAGTAAAACATTAGGTTTTTTTTGGTTTTTTTGGTATAATTTATTCAGAGTTCGCTGCTCATAACGGATGCAGAAGACTTTGTGTCTGCAGAAGAAGGTTTGGCCGGCCTCGAGGACCAGAGAAATGCCTCAAATCCTTTGGTGGGTAATCATCATCTTTTTTTTTTCAGAAAAAAAAGTACATTGAAGCACTTCAAGGCTGCAAGAAATGAGTTTTACAATAAAACATGTTTTGTGGAAATGTACATTCCTTTGAACCTTCGGAAAATAACGAGACCTATTTTTGGTGTATAGTTTGTTAGTGCAGTTATTTCAGTAGTTATCACTTCCATGCTGTTTCCCGGTAACTGAGGGCGCTGTTGCTTTGCCGTCAGCTCAGGCTAACACTCAACAGTTTTCTGTACAAATTATGAGTCCAGGGTGTGGCTCATTAAAAATATTTATGCAAAAAAATATTTGCTTTTTTTAAAACTGGTTTTGTGTACAAAATCAACAAAGGTAGTGGCAAAAACAAAATCCCCAAAGTTTTGGCAATTTCAGATGCTGAATCAGCTGAAACACTGAAACTTCTACATATACCTTGGATGACAAAAAGGCCCTGAAACACCAGTACCTATGTCATATGCCATGTATGCCTTTAAAATGGGACATGAGGGGCCCTTAAGGATAGCATTTCAAAAAGTCCTATTACCAAGACCCTTTTATTATATAAAACAAACGTTCCAAGTCAGTCGGATGAGTTGCACATCAGAGTGTTTGTTGTAGGGCAGAAATACTGACCATGAAAAGAATTTCTTCACCCTATGAATCAGCCATCTGTTGACTGTTGGATATTGTTGGAACTTCCACATTCTATATTTCCCCTAGTGAAACCACAAAAGGGAAACCGACTTGGTGCAAACATAATCATCATAAGGTTGAACAACAATTTTGACTGGAGCAGGATTTTGAACCTGCAACCTGCACATTATTGTGTCGGGGGCTCTACCAACTGAGCCCTATGTCGGCAGTTTCTCCGGCTACATGACATATTTAACAATTGTTGACTGCTGTGATGTGGGATATGACGTTTTTAATACCCGAGGGGCATTCGCCTTGGGTGCTATGCGCCCTAGGGAGTTAAAGACGGCATATCCCACATCACAGCAGTCAACAATTGTTTTGTTATATCGTGCCAATAACTCAAAAAAATAAATGGTTGTAACTTACTCTGTCAGAAATAAATTAAATTACTGCGATGTAACCTTTGATAACTGAAGGCTTTGCTGTCCTGCCGGACGATGACTGAGCGTTTGACATTGCAGTATTCTTTGCACAAACCTAGCGCGCCGGCAATTTTCACACGCACGTGCAACGTGCGCAATTAGTGCAGTGCGATATCACCCTCATCAGTGTGTGACATGCGTTTTTATAGACTGAACACTTGGTCGTTCTCGACCAATGAAATTACAGTATCCAGGCACCTGATATAACAATAGGGTTTATATCTTCTGAATGTCACCTGCGAACAAGGTTGGTAGAGCCCAGTACAGTAATCCGGAGGTCACAGGTTCAAATCCTCCTCCAGTCAATTCATTGTTTAACTTTATAATTCGTGTCTTGTCCACAGCTGCAAGGCTTTGTGACATCAGCCCGTGGCAGCGATCCTTTCCTTCCACCCACCGGCCATTCCTCCAGCAGCCTGAGCCCTGATACTCCCGAGGATGAGGTGAACTCGGCCAAAGAGGAGGACCAAGAAGAGGAAGAAGAAGAAGCTAATGAGGTCATCATCTATCCGCCCAGCGAGGAGTCTAGCTCCTCCCCTGAGAGGTAGGATGCGATACCATGGAAACAGTAGCACCTGTTTTAAAAAAAAGTCTGTTTTGGGGGTGTATTTTTTTTGAAAGAAAATTGTAAATTCTGTTTCATCCATAAAACTGTGTGAGATGATCTGTTTCCAAATTTTACCATGTGTGTCATGTTGAGGTTGACTGAAATTGATTGAATTCAGTTTTCTGTCAAACAATTTCACTGCAGAATGCTTGGAATGCTTGGAATTGAAAAAGAATACTGGAATAATGTACCTTACTTCTGAGCAGCCTAGGTCTGCTGCACTTGCTTATTTCTAATGGTCCCTACTGACAATGAAATAGGAGCTTAGAAACATTGACTGAATTGACTGTTCCATAAAGCACTGCCCTTTAGTGTTCTGACCAATCACATCACAGCTGTTATTAATGTCCGACATGCGTGCACGCGCATATGACATGCAAGACTGGAATATGCAGTGTGAATCATTGGAGAGATGGATCAGTCTATAATGGAAAGCATTCATCCCAAATGTATGCTGTGTTTTCTGAAGTTTGAAATTTCAGGTGACGGAGTCCACGTCGAGTCTTGAGGAGCTTCAGCGAAGACGGGCGCGGTCAGTCCTCAAGAAGGAGAGCCCTAGAAGCAGCAGGGTCATAGAGGACCAAGATCTCACCGAAGGTAATTATCACAGACATTAAGTCAATCATTAAGCAATCATAAGTCAGTCGCAAGTCAATCACAAGTCAGTCAAAGATCAGTCACAGGTCAATCACAAGTTAATCACAAGTTAGACAGAAGTCAATCGCAAGTCAGTCACAGGTCAGTCACAAGTCAATCATTAGTAAGTCACAAGTCAATCACAAGGTAGGCACAAGTCAATCACAAGGTAGGCACAAGTCAGTCAAAGGTCAGTCACAAGGCAATCACAAGTTAGTCACAAGTCAATCACAATTCAATCACAAGTCAGTCACAAGTCATTCACAAGTCAGTCACAGGTCAGCCAAAGGTCAGTCACAAGTCAAACACAAGTTAGTCACAAGTCAGTCATAAATCAATCACAACTTAGTCACAAGTCAATCACAAGTCAGTCACAGGTCAGTCAAAGGTCAGTCAAAGGTCAGTCACAAGTCAATCACAATTCAGTAGATCACAATTCAGTCAAATGAGGAGTCAGTTATTATTTTTGCAGTGGGTAGTTGTGTTGATTTTTTAGGTTCTGACAAGTAATTGCATGATCAGTGTTGGAGCTTTCCAGAGATTCTTGAGTTACAAACAAAACACAGAAGCATGCTACCAGCGGTTACTGACCTTGTCACAAACAGTTGTGGTTAATGACTAGGCCCTGAATGAAACAATTCCACCAGCTATTTTTGTCCTAAACAAACTAGAAACTTATGAATAGGGATTAGGTCTGAAATTTGGTTATAAAACCAGCACAAAATTTCAGGTGTTCTGGTTTAGTGAATGGTTAATAACACATGTACATGTATGTCCTTTGATGTGTGGCAGTCGAGGGATCAGAGAGCACTGAGCCAGTAAGCCTGGGCACCAGCGAAGACGAAGATGAAGGTGATGAAGACGAAGCTGAAGAGGACGACAACGAAGAAAAAGGTGACCAAGAGAAGACACCCACCGAGAGCGATCACTCCAACTCCAAGGCCCAGTCTACACCAGGTCAAACTCCCACCACTACGTCCATCATTACCCCCACTGACCCCACTGAAGGGCTGAAGACCAACGGTCGAGATTCCTCGAGTCCCAAACGAGATGAAGATGAGGAGGAGGAAGACAAAGATGAAGAGAGCTTCTTGCACACCAACTACGGCTTCACTGAGCAGGAGAAGTTTGGCAAGTGCCTGGAGCAGCTGCAGTCGGGCTTTGCCTCGGTCGGCCTACACAACGGCAACCATCATCGGCTAAGCATCTCCTCCAAGTTCCTCTCACGGTCACAGCTCAGTCACATCAGGTGAGTGACTTTGCGTCATGTGGTCATTATCAATGCTGCGTGTTTGGGCAATAAGCCATTTGCGAGTGACATATATGCCCTTTGAGGTTTAAATTTGAAAAACATCTGGTACACTGACTTGCTCAGATTGCTTGTCACATTTTAACTTTGAATTCTCTGGACCAAAGACACTGTTGCTAATCACACGATTCAGGGCAAGCTCTTGCATAGTTATGTAAGAGACGCTCAGCACCAATACACTGCTCACAATGGGTGGGAATGGCACGAAGACACCAGACCATGCCGGAGCCGGGGGTTGCTAGCGTAAGGCTTGCCCCGAATCACGTGATGTAGTAACAGTCTCTTTGGTCAGGAGAATGGAAAGTTAAAACCTGCAAAGCATTAAAGTAAGTCAGCGTTCCAGATTTTATTCAAATTTAACTCACAAATGGCTTATTGGCCCAGCAGTTTCTTTCCGTTGCTCTTGGTATGGTTTTGTATTAATGCAAACCGTAGCAAATTGTCCGAGGTTAACACGTCCTACATCATATTAGCCATTCTTAGGCTAGGATTTACATTTAGATTACAGAATATGCTAGCAAAATGAGGCTAAACTATTTTTTTTGTCCGCATAGTTTTTTGTGTGAAAAAAAAAATATCAAATTATTCAGGGTTTTAATGTAGAACAAGGGTTGAGACTTTTTGTTTTGAAAAAAAAAAATTCAAAACTAAAGTGAGTTGGATTTTTTTGGATGTATACTTGTTTGTGGCAATTTTGTCAGTGTTGTCCAGCACGACTTGTGTAGTTACTTTTACTATTTAGGAACAGTACATGACACTGTTTGCCTGTTCACATGCATGCACTGGATTGCTTGCATGTGACAGGGAGTAGGCAACGTCAATTTTCATCCAAATGTGCACATATTGTCATCGTGATTCTTTTGTTTTGTTTCACTTTTTGCCATCGCATCAGGGGCGTGGCAGCAAGTACACGCCCTCTGCCGTCGTCATCGGTAGGAGGAGTTACAGCCCAGGTGGTGAGTATCCTAGCAACTGATAGCAATTTGCTTATCAGAACAAGAAAGACAAAGATTGGTTTTCTTTAGTAGTAGCTTCTCTGTATCTCTCTGTTGTTGATGCAGTGGTTGAGCTCGTTGCGAAGACTGAAAGCCTGTTCATTCTGGACAGGAAAGCAAATACAAACACGAATTTTTGACATCATGGAAGAATACGTGTTGCAAATTTGTAAAACGTTGACAGATTATACCTCAAATTGGCCCCCAAAAAATCGTTGCCAATGTTTTGTGACGCCAACCCCGAACATTCACGTGAAGTTTGAACCAGACTTGAGCGCCTCTGAAGAAGGTATGATTCTGTTTAATCAGATCCTCTGAAGAGCAGTTCCGAAAACAGTTGTGACTTTCATCATTATGAGACCCCAAAAGTTAGAGTTGCAATTTTCCTGATTTGCAAGTGTTTACTTGAACTTACAGTCTTCAGCATGTTGCCTTGAACCGGTGTGGTTTTGTGTACGGGGTGGCGCAAAAAGAAGGAAACCCACTTTTGACAGGAATTTTCACCAACTTATTGAGCATATTTTAAAAATTCAATATAATGGTATTAAAATATTGATCTTTAAACTTAAGTGACGAAAAAATGTTTGGAAATGCTTATTTTGTCTCTGAGATATTGTAGTTTAAAAATTTCATGTGCCTGTTTGTCCATGGACGGCTTTATTTCATCCGCTTGACTGAGCTCCAAAGCTTGATTTGAAGACAAAAACACTATACACTAGACTTACACATGGACAACAGTGATTTTGGTGACTTGTATTTAAATTGGCATAATAATGCTATTCTTATGATTTTTTTAAAAGATTTTTTCACCACGTATGGTTGAAGAGCTATACTTCACTACATTTAGAGAAAAAAAACAGTTTAAATAAGTTAAGTAAGTAGGCTAAAATTCCTGTCAAAAGTGGGTTTCCTTCTTTTTGCACCACCCTGTAGAGTAGCCAGGGTTTTGTGATGTGTTTGTGACTGGCCGATTGGTTGATGGTTTGGTTGATTGCTTCATGATAGAAGGGATGCTGTGTCAAGAGAGTTGCTTTGAGTTCTGTCTAATATTCATTTGTTTCCTCCATGTTTATTTTTGTTCCCTCCTAATTTTGCTTTTGGGTTCTGAAAGGGTTACATGGCTTTTGCAGTATAAACCAGTTCATTAAACGGGTGTTTCGAAATTGTTCCAGGCTACAAGGTGAAGGCCAGCTAATAATCAAATGTACAATGTACAAGCAAGATAATTTGACTTTGGTTTTTGGGTTGTCACGCACTTGGACTGGGAGGCTTGGATGGTTGTTTTAACTGCAGCTTTTGTTTTTAAAAAATTTCATTTATTGACACCAACAAGAAATCTAAGGTGTCCAAAAATTGCCCATGGTGCTGTATTGAAATTGCAATTTGATTATGAAGCATTATAAATTTCAAATAAGATTCTGTGAGAAGCGGTTTTTCCGTTCATGCTTTTTCCTTTGCAACCCATCAGAAGATCTGTTCATCAAGTTCTGACCCATTACATACTCAGATCCCATTTCATGATTTCCTAGATTGAACAACCAAACTTCAAAGAGTATGTAGTTCCCATAATGCACCAATCATTGTCTCTCTCTTCCACCACCCAATTACCCACCCCCATTGCCCACCCTATACCCCAACCCATTTCCCACCCCAACCCAATCCCACCCCATTGCCCACCCTATACCCCAACCCATTTCCCACCCCAACCCAATCCCACCCCATTGCCCACCCTATACCCCAACCCATTTCCCACCCCAACCCAATCCCACCCCATTGCCCACCCTATACACCAACCCATTTCCCACCCCAACCCAATCCCACCCCATTGCCCACCCTATACACCAACCCATTTCCCACCCCAACCCAATCCCAAACCAAATCCCCAACCCATCCCCCATCCTATCCCAACCCATCCCCCACCCACCCCACCCATCCTCACCCATTTCCTTACCATTCTCACCCCCATTTACCCACCCCCTCCCGCTCTCCTTACCTCTGCCACCCATCCCCATCTGACCCTATCTCTCCACCTCGCCATTAGTACCTACAACGTCGCAAGGATGTCATGGCTAAGGCTGTAGATGAGACTAGAAGGAGACTGCAATCTGTAAGTGCGCTCACAAAGTCACAATCAAGGCTCACTCGTTAAGCCATGCTTGGCCTCTTTTCAAGCCTTTTACACCACAGCACAAAGTACACATACATTTGTAGATGCCATTTTGCCCACTGTTTCAATACACACAAAGTAGTTTTGATTTTGAACTGCTAGTTTTTGACTATTGTTTACATCTGCAAAAATTCCTCTTCGATATTTTAATTTTGCAAATAAGTGCATGACACTTCCCGAGTGTATATAATGTTAGGTTCAGTCACAGGAATCAAAAAGAACTCGCAAGACATCCACAGTTTATCATAGATGTATGCTACTATTCACCAGACAAGCTCCCTTTCAAGTTTTTCTTGCATCCCCATTCTCTGTTTATTTTCATTTTGCCTGCATTTCATGTTCATCACTGCATGTTTGTTCATTTATTTTACTTCAAAGTCTTTAGATTGTGGTTCGTACATGTATGTACTGTACATGTATACTTTGGTTCTTCGGTACAGGGTGTGAGCTAATATTGTGGTGCATTATCTCACTGTTTTGCTTGCATTGTGTATGAGGTTACCATTGCAATTTGGGACATGGTGCTCATTTATTTCTGTGGGTCGCATGTCACTCAATGTGGGAAGTAATAACAACTTATATCATTATTAAAGATATAGTCCATCATTTGCAATTTGTGCATTTTGTTTGTTTGAAGCAACAAAAGTGCTCAAAATCTAAAGAAGGGTACTGAACAACTAACCTGATGAAGTTTCAGCTCAGCTTCAGTTGTATATTCCGAGAAAAACAGCATTCTAGGATCTCAATTTCAAATCAAAAGTTGCTGAATCATGTTTTGAATTGGAACGGAATTCAGCGTCCGAGACACGTTCTCACTGAGCCGATTGCACCTACGCGATGTCGCGCACTGATCCGCCGAATTATAGCAACCGCGCGTGCGTCATGCCAATGCTTCCGCGCGCTTCTTTAAATTTCCTATGGTGCGTCTTAAGAAGTACCTTTGGAAAGGCCTTCTTTCGTTGATTACTTCAAAATGACAGCTTGCCAGAAAAAAGAATTTCACTGGGAGTTTAGTCCCCTTACTATCTTTCAACCAAGTATGTTTTTCAACAATAATTACGTCAGTTACTTTTCGGATAGCTGCAAATGATGGACTGTAGCTTTAAATAGCAGGTGCACAAGATGGAATTTAGCCCGTACATGCGTGTCAGTTAGTCTCAGCTCAAACAATTTAATATGTTATTGGGCTTTGTGTCTGACATTGCAGATCCTAAGATTGAGTAAATCCACAAACTTATTGGTTATTTTGTTGGTAAAAAAGTGCTCGTCTCATCACACTTGTGTTTAATGCATCGTGTTGTTAGGATTACTGTTTTATGAGTACAAATAAGTAACAAGAAAAACAAACAGAAGTGAAAAGTTTTATCACAGGATGTTTTCCAGTTTGCTCTTGTAACAAGAGTGGATTACTTTCCCTGTCAGATGGGCTGGAACTCCTTAAGAAGCAAATCAACAACTACACCCTCATCCTCCGGCTCCACAACTTCCACCACCCCCACCTCGACACCGACTTCTCCAAACAAGTCGGTCTCGACAGTGACCACTGTCTCAAGGAGTGAGGGGAGTTCGATGACAGAGGCCTCCCCAGCAGAAGCTGATGAGCGATCCCACACTGTTGCAAGTGTCACAGAGTCTCCAAGTGTTGGAGATGCTCTGCTGAATGAAAGTGAAGGGAGCCAAAAGGGTCAGAAAGCCTCCGAAGATGGGAAACAGGAAATTGAAACTGATCAGAGAAAGACCGAGAGCACTCCTGTGGTCAGACAACCAGAAAATGAACCTGCATTGACCGAGGACTCAAGGGATAAAACGCAGGAAAATGGTGTTATGATCAACAAAATGGGATTAAGGGACAGCAAAGAAACTGAAGAGTCAAAAGCAGTACAAGAAAACAGTATCACCTCCAGTGGTGAGTCAGCATCCAAAGCATCTACAATCCAACCTGTTACTGGAACCAAGGATGTTGGAGACAATATCAGTAGGTCCAAGTCTCCTTCAACAGTCCCTGCTGAGACTTCAAACTCTCAACAAGTCAGCCAATCAGAGAGTGTCGTGAGATCGGATGACCAATCCCGCAATATGACTTCAACTCCTGACCCTGTCCATGTGCCCATCATCAAGACCAAGAGGCCAGTGTCTGCACCTGTGGAGCCAACGTTTGAGGCGATAGAGAAGGCAAACAAGGAGAATCTGGTAAGGTCTTTCAAGTACAACACTCACCCAGGAAGAAGGTCGATCTCATCCAGCAGCAAGAGTAAGATGGACAAGATGAAGGCCAGGAAGGATCAACCGGCAACATCAACTATGAGGAAGAGTACATCCATGTCAGATCTTCGAGAGGGTTAGTACCAAGTTTTCTCTAAAGAATACTGGCATTTTCCGGAAGTTGTCGTTGTGTTTACTGCAATTCTAAATTCATTTTACCAAACTTTTTCACATGGCCACACTTCCCCTCTCAGTGTTTGGCATTGCCCCCACCTCCCCCTTCACTGTTAGCTAATTTTTGTCTTCTTATATTTCAGCCAAATCTGATGAGGAAAGCAGATCTGAGTCTCCAAGCTTTAACATGGTGCTGCGCTCTCACCCCAGGAGTCACAGTGTGGAGAGGAAAAAGATAAGAGCCAACAGCCCAGCCAGGGAGAAGCATCGATCTCGCCCAGACAGAGTCCTCCCCTTGGTCCCCGGCCTCCTGAAACCAAAGTCCTACGAGGTTGGAACAGCCAGCTCCTTAGCCAAAAAGTCTGTGCGTAAAGATGAGACACCCCCGTCATCTCCTTCCAGGACAGGTCGGGGGAAAAGATCATCATTTGGAGCACCTGGTGAAGAGTCCAGACAGTCCAAATCAGGAGGTAGCTCACCAGAAACTCTCCCAGAGACAACAAAGAATGTTACTCTTCCTGAAAAGCCGTCTGCAAAGGATGCCCTGGCAGATAAAACTAAACAACTTGCTGAAGCCGACATTTCTTCAGAAGCAACTGTAGCTGATACACAGACTGCAGATGTAAAAGATGTACCAAGGTCATCCTCCCCATCATCTGTTGGATCTCAGAAAGATGCTGACCTGAGCTCTAACAAAGACCAAGCCGACAAGCTAGCCATGCCCCCACCCTCCAGTACTACCATCGCCAAGAGTAACAGAAGCTTACGAAGGTCCTCAGCGACCAGAGTGGAGTTGAGGCAACAACGGCGCCGAGGATCCTCCTCAAAGACCAAACCTCCTGCAAATGATGCTTCCTCGACAGAGGACCAAAAGGTCTCCAGCGACTCAATCTCCACCTCTGAGACATCTCAGTCCGATGCAAGACCCTCATCTCCCAAGAGCAGGGGAAGCTCCTACAGGGAAAATCGCAGCAGCAGTTTGAGAGAGGGTCTGTCGCCAAAGACAGCCAGGAAAGCATCTGCCCCGACCATCAAAACTGATACCACAGAGGAATCCCTGTCAGATCCAAGTAGACCCCCTTTGAAGTTGAAAAGCTCCAAGGATAGTGTAAAGGATGAGAAAACGAGCGAGAAGCCCTCGCCAAGGAGGCGGCGCCGGGAGAGAAACGAAGAGGCCGTTGTCAATGCCTCCAATAACAATAACACAATGACCCAGCTAGACTCGGTGGATAAGGTTCATTCCCCAAGGTCTCGGAGTCGCAGGCGGAGATCTTTTGAGGCCAGTAATGCCTCAGAGAGGACATCTGGTGTCACATGTGAGGGGACAGTGACAGCAAAGACATCTGAGACAGAGCAAAGACGTGAATCTTTGGAGCAATGCCCGACGTCCACTATCAAAGGTAAGCACCAAAGCCTGTGACAGACTTGAAGGGATACAATTGATGCCTCCTAGCGCTGAGTATCCCTACCATTAGTTCACATACTACAAGCTGCTCCTGGAATAACCGGAAAAGTCCCTGCTTTCAGTTTCAGTGCTTTATAAAATTCAAAATTGAGATGTCCTCAGATTATCCAAGTGCCTTTTGCTTGATAAGAAATTAAAATTTCATCAATTTCCTCAAAGCCAATTTTAAATGTTTCTCTAAGGTTTTTCCTTTCTCAAGCAAAAAATTATAAAACACATTATTTTTTTTCTCAGAGAAAGTACTTCATGAACATGCGTGTTGTTTTGATGTTTTACATTTACCTGTAGTTTCTGCTGTCTGTGCAAATATGCCGTTTAGGTTTATACAAAAGTTTACGTTTTTGCTGTAGAATCAATGCACTTCATGAGCCCTGCATAATTCCCAAATAACCACACACTGAAAAATACATTGTCCCCAACCTTCCTAATTCCACCAAAAGCCAGCACCTGGTCTCGCTGGGTGTTGATTGGTCTAAGACTGTTGCCCTCAGGCCATCAGCCTGGGGGTTTGGACAGTATCAAATCAGGGCATAAATGATTTTAGTGCGCATGCGCAAGGTATACCGCCCGTAGAGTGGTAACAAGCATTTTGATGGCCGTTTTGAAAAAAAGGGTGATAACACCCAAAAAGCTGCCACCACTGCAATGCTATCACATATTTTCCAACTCTGGAGGTGTATACCTTGCCAAAAATCGCTATGACTATTATTCCCCTCATTTGATACCGGTGGCCAAAATTTTGGACCGAGGCTGATGGCCTATAGCACGTTGGGCTTGATGTCCCCTTTTTGTTAAAAGATAATTAAACGCACCCTTTGATATTATAATTGGATGCACCCTAATGTTCTCTGTTCCTGATGCTTGTTCCCTCGGTCACAACATCTTCTGTTAATATCCCCTTTTGTTCCCTTCCTCCTTTGACTGACACTCCCCTTTTGTTTACCATTGGCTTTTTTGGGGTCCAGTCATGGCTTTGTGACACCTGACTGACTTCATGTATCTTAGTTGTTACACTCTGTGTACATGTGTATCACAGTTGTTCTCAAAATTGATTTTTGGTTCTACTCAAGTCAGTACCTCAATACAACACCACACATACTGACTGACATTTACACCATTCTCAAGCTGTGAAATTGCTAAAAATGTTTGTAAAATATTTCAGGAAAGTTGTTTGGAATACCTCAACCCAAAACAATAGGCATATTATGGACAAACTTGTCCGTAACTTAATAGCCCAGATGCTTTATGAGATCACTCCTAACAACTTGCCTTGGTTTGTGCTTTGTCTTGGTTTCGTCTTCAGAACCATGTCCAGACAGAGATTCATCAGAGATGACCCTTGACATGATGAAAGCCCAAGTGGACACTATGAAGACAGCATTTGACCAGTGTCTGGAGCTCTGCGCTAAGGTCAGTCATTAAACCTGATGAACATGTCAGTTCTGGAAGGTCAATTCTGGAAGAAACCCGAGCCACTCATCACTTGTAGAGTTTGCCATTAAACCTGTGCAGGCCGCAGTATCACTAGGCCCCAACCCCGAACCACCCTACTATCCCCCTCCCCCACCCCCTGAACTGAGAATTTCCCCATCTGAAAGTGGTGAGCAACTCGGGAAAACTACATGCCACTTTGAAATAAGAATATTATAACTCCCCTCTCTATTACAGAAACACCCACCCATAAATTTGTCTAAACGCACCATATTCATGTAAATTTTCCCCATCCTGAATGACAATCTGGGTGAGACCACTGTCGTATGAGCTGTGTTTAATTAATTGAAAATTGAGAGGTCCTGATGAATGCTAATATAATTTACTGTTCACTGTACATTTACTTTTTGTGTAGTAAAACACACAAATTGTACATCAGTGTTGAGGTTGTTGAACTGCTACTTCTTGTTGGATTGTAGGCTCAAGGCACCGACTCACCTGGCAAGAGCCACCAGCATTTCCTGGACTACTTCGCCTCCACGTTCAGCCTGATGCAGGCAGCCTCTTCCCCTACCCTCGCTTCTAGGCAAAGCCGCCGACATCCCAACCTCTCTGTCACTGATGACACCATGTCGGACGTCAGCGAGTCCTCGCTGCCCTACGACGACCTCCTGCGATCAGCCTCAAGCTCCTCGGTTTTCATGACCACCACCGCCACCACGGTGTCCTCAGCAAGGCACTCTGAGGTGTCGCCCTCAGAGGTGGACGCCCTCAGGGCCTCCCTCAGTTCCTGCCGTAAGACCCCACCGCCCAACGGGATGACAGGCGAGGTAGAGATGACATCAGCCATTGCCCTACTGGATCAGTACTCAAGCATCTTGGTCTCGCTCGTCAGGCAGAAGGTTGGGGATGAGATGAGCGAGGAATCGGCGGCCACACAGACTCAGCGCTCATTGGACTCGGCAATTGAAGGCATTGTCAATCAGTGAAACTATGGTTAATCAGTGTTGAAGTAAAGTCCTTTTCCGAATCCTCAAATACACTGAAATCTAAGTTTGAATAGTGGAGTCAAGTCAAGAAAGCTTTGCAAAATGATTGTGATGCGTGGAGCTGACATAGTATGCACAAAATGTACAAATATTGCAGACTCGAGTCCAAGTCTGAAATTTTCCGGCATATCTTCTTGTTCAAATGTGCAGATGCTCACCCATCGTCCAATGTAACAAACTCTTTCATGCCACTCTTGGGCAGTTTCTCAGGCTTAGTATTTATTGTTCATGTAGCTTTCTATATGCAGTAGGAAAGGGACTGTACTACAACACTGTGATAAAGCATCATTCAACTCATTATGAAGTATCGTAGTCAAGTATGGGTAGGCCAGTCTTGTCAACTTTTCAATAAAAAAATGTGTTTCCCTTCAGAAATGTTGTGTTAAAATCTGCAAAGATGGTTAAGAAATATTGAACAGGGTGGGTATCACTTATCCATCCCAGCCTGCTCCCTAAGCTCAGACAACAGCTGGAATTTGTATTGCTTGGCATAGCAAAGGCTTTTGGCTCATAACAACTGAACAGAAATGAATACCTGAACAGAAATGTACTTTGCAGCAACATTTATAACATTGGAATGTTTCATGTATTGCACTTTGTCACTAGCTAAACCAAAGGAGGTAATTGTATCATTCATATACAGTTGATTTGTTTAATAAAGATCTTTTAGAAGCATATATCTAGCTTCCTACATGCATGTACTCCTTCCTTTACGAGGCAACGTCGTACTTAATTGCAGTCATTTACCAAAGTAAGTAGTCTTCCAGGCTAATAGAAAGTACTCGTCATCTCCAAAGACACTAGATAAACACACAGCCTCTGGTAGTACTTCAAGTTAATGTTCAAGGTGTGTGTTGAAATTGTGCCAGCCCCACCAATTTTAATGTCATAAACAATTTTTTTCCCACCACCCAGCATTGCCATTTTTTTGCTTGGTGCTCACCGATAAGTGTGCCAATTGGCTAGTGCAAAAGTGATCAGCATTTGGAGAATTAAGAAAAAAAGTGGATGATTTATGGATGTATATTGTACTTACACAATTGGCCAAAGGTTTATGGCAAATCAGGGCAGTTGTAATAATGCCATTTTGGGGTTACAAACAAACATGAATCCAAGAGCTAGTTCGAGCGACGACTATGGGTTACCATTGTTCAACTAACTTCACTTGAACGAAGAATGGTTGGACTGCTCTAGTCAACTATTTTGACCCGGACCACAGTGCACGGTTGCATTAGTGGTTGTTATATAACTGACATACAGATCCTTGTCATTTGATTGGGGGAACTCACATCACATGACATTCGTTATTGCTCCCATTCACGCTGGGGCTCAAAAAGTCCCATTCGCCCATGGGGAATGGGAAATACTATTGAACAGTTGGGATCATTCTTGTTCCATGACGCGGTATTTGTGTGCAAATGCATGCTGGTGTGCGCATTCAGCGTTGCGCGTAGCACGTATTGTTCCAACTGAGCCAGCGCTACAGCGTTGGGTTCAAACATTTTCATGAAGGGGGGGTTTGGAGGAGAGAAATACATTTTCCACCAATTTTGTATTGAAATAAAAGTTCAAATATATCAAATGACAAGGATCTATATGTCAGTAATATGAAATATGGAGTGGCTTTAAGTTGTGAAATGGGAGGAATATTATCGCTCGGTAAAATCTGGACTTTTCCAGTTCACTCAGCTTCGCCTCGTGAAATGGAAAAGTCCAGATTTTACCTTGCGACAATATTCCTCCAATTCCACGCTGAGCCACTCAATATTTGTAAACCAATAGCCCTGCGCATCCTAATGCACAGCAGTACTCAATGGCTAGACGCTCATTGTCTACCGTTTTGTACCCAAAAAATGGTGTCGTTATATTTGCTCATTTGCTTTCAAAATATGGCCAATGGAGATAGTTTTAGAGTACATGTATATGCATGACTTTCCACCAGAGCAGTGGTTCTATGACAGTGTTAATGATCAGCAATAAAATGCATTGTAATGTCCGAACTTTAAACAGTAATAAGACAAATTGAATTTATTTGCTGTCAGTAAAGTGACCAGAATGTTAAGTTTAAGAGGTGTCCGGAATTTGGTTTTAAAATGAAATTTATTCCATATCATTACATTATTTTGGTTTTGAAGATAGGCATGTAACAACATTTTCGTTAGCAATTTTATTGTCAGACAACAAAGAGTGAAAGAGCATCTCACAGGAAGTGAGCTTCATTGTCAAAATGTATTCTTTCAGTCCTTAAAGTGTAAAGAAATTTTAAGCTTTTATTGGCATTACATACTCGGGCATTTATTTTAAAATGATACATGTTTGAAAATGTGTTAATTGTACTGTTCATATCACGCATGTTCAGTGTACATGTATACATGTATACACTTAAACATGCCACGAAACCAAAAAAAAATTGTTGTACAAAACTATTATAAATTCTTGTTGCATAAATTCATTATGGGATAAAATGATTCATCCAAAAACTGTATAGTTACATTATTAAGCTTTAATATTTCTAGAACGTTATTGTTTTTTATGTTTTGTATACAAAAAAACGAAACGTACAAAGCAAGAGCTATGTATTGTAAATACTCATTCAACGTGAAGATGGCTCCATTGCTTGTACTGTATATGTATATAATGTGAAAGGGATACTGCTACATTTGTTTCTAACATTCCAAAATTTGGTCCGGGCATTTGTTTTTGTTTGAAGAAAATATAAAATGTCCAAAATGTGTCTTCCAAGAAGATTTACCATTTCAGTATGGATTTTACTTTATCTTTGCTTTTTGTTGCTGCTCTTAGCGATTCAGAAATAAACGCTTTGAGGAAAACCAAGTGATTCAAAACAACTTTTCTCCAATTTTGAGAAGTTAAGAATAGTTGTGACGGTTCAATACTGGTTATTCTACAATTTTGAGATATTCTGTATTGTAATATTAGGTTTGTTAATACATGTGGGATGTAAAGCTTTGTATTACATGTATACTGGACAAGTTTAATCAGTTTTAGGCTCAAATCATTTTTATGTTCAAACATTGGGATCATGAATGGGTACTGGTAATTGTTTTCAATTGTCTAAGGTGGAAAATGATTTTAAAAAAATTCAGCAAATATTCATATGCATTTATTAAAGAAATCTGCCTTTAATAATAAGTTTGTATTCAAATTCAGATGCAACCAGCAATGACATTGATTTTCTTTCTCCAATTGGATATATTTTTAATCACATTTTCGAAATTATGCAATTTGTATGACTTGCAAGTTTTATTAATTCATTTTTGGGAAAATGGTTTTAAGTGATTCAGATACAGAATATGTTATTCAGGACAGTCCGTCAGAGACAATGATGTAACCAAATTTGCCATGATTCAGTTGCTATGGGTAACAGTCATTTTTGGGAGAATGGTTTAAGTGATTCAGATACAGAATATGTTATTCAGGACAGTCGTCAGAGACAAAAATGTAACCAAATTTGCCATGATTCAGTTGCTATGGGTAACAGTCAGTACTCCAAACTCCTGAATGATTCATATTGAAATCAGAGATTTTGCAGAGATAATTTGATTCTATTCTCGTGCAGAGTACAGGTATATCATAACTTTTAATATCTGTAATGTGAGAAGTGATTTTTACGTCCCTGTGGATGTAACAAATGCCATGTTATACATCACAGTAGTCAGAAATTCTTACATTTAAAGACCAGTTCATACTTCAAAGTGAGAGCAAAGCGAATTCCATGACATCAACAATTGAAGTTTCACTGTGATGTTCTCCGTTACCCTAATGAATTTGCTTTGTCCATCATGCGTTAAGCATACAGTGGGCACTGCATAACAGTGTCAATGCATCTTTATTGTGTATTGTGTTATCCGTTTAAAGATTATACCCTCCGGTAGCGATTGAAATGGATAATACACACAATATGCAAATTTTTTTTGTGCAGCTCAATGAAATGCAGTGCCTGGATGAAAAGACGAAATTGGCAAAAAGAGGAAGTAGTTTGTATGGTGTGCTCTCTATTTGAGGTTTCTACGCCCATCATATGTCCGGAGAAATAAGTACACATGGATTTTCTGAATATGCATCCCGTAACTGATAAAAGCACAATGCAGTACGCACAGCGAAAACGGACTCGTGGATTTTTGGCCTTAAAGTTTATAAGTAGAGGGGATAATGACTTTTTGCAATTGACAGTTCAATCATTAAATACTGTACATGTGTACAAATTTGCAAATTGTTTAGACAGGAAAACAAGGAAATTCAAAGCTGTACAAGCGTTTTCAAAAGGGCTGCTTTGGTTGGCTTTGGTTGGCATTGGGTCCGAAGAGAAGACTGGGATATTGGGGGACATCTGCACGATGCACTGAAGCATTGTAAATTACTCATGTATATTTCCTTAAGTTCATTTGTCCAAGTTCCTGGCTTATGTATTGTGTTATGTATGGTTTGTTTCTAAGAAGGAAATAAATTATTTGTCTTTTCTGTATGTGATAAGTGGCTTTTGTCTATTCTTTGTAGCGTATATATGCTCACAATTTTAAAGATAATTTTGAGCTTTTTATATTTCCCAGGGAGCTGAGATTGTCTTTGGATTGGCCCAGTGAGCAGGGAAAATAATACTGGCGGATGCGTGCACTTTTTAAATACACATTTTTATTATTATTGAATAAGACTGAGGCATTTTATAAATACTCGACTTTTATTTACAGATACAATCAATCAACTACAAATGTATACAGATACACTAAATCAACCAATTAAATGCAACCTGTCGTCACAAAAGGAGCTTAAAGATGGATTGTTTTAAGATATTTATTTATTTGGATTCAGCAGAACAAGAGCTTTCCAATGGTATGTAACGTTTAGGGGTGCTGAGTTCAGTAACAGAAATATAGACCAACTTACGTGAAGTTGTAAAACTGATTCTTGAGAAAATGGCATTTAAAACTCCTGCAGTTGTGTTACAGTGAATGAACAGTCAACTAATAAAACAGGATGAAAAAGGTTTTAAAGATGTTTGACGGAACAAAAACAATGGAGAAAGGTAAAAGAAGACTTACAAAACAAGGTTCACTTGAAAACAAAAAAAAATTGACACTCCTTCAAATTTTGGTTTTGCCCCACTCCGACCTGAAGCTCAGTTTGTGGTGACAGGTCACAAATATTATTAGAGACATTTATAAACTACATGAATTAAAAACTTGAATCAGAATGTTAGAATTGGCATTTGATCTGACTCGATTACTTTACACCTCATATAAAACCATTCACACAAAAAAGGCACTAACGCTGAAATACTTCACAGTTTTACATATTGTACAAAAATTATTTACATTTCATACAATAGTTAGGACTTAGGTGCTAATTGTCAACACTATAATCGCTATCAAAATTCTTTGCGTTAAAAATGTGAGGATAAAAGGATGCTAATTTTATCAGTGTTACCGAAATTGCATCATAATCACAGAATGACAACCACCGGCATGTGTTGATCGAAAAACTATGGTGACTGAATGCACGTTAGTTTATAATAACACTAGCCTTGTCGACTATTTTGGACCAGAGGTTGGTTGCTGAAGTGGGACTGTTGTTTGACAAAAGATGGTGTCACTTTTTGACCAGCCTACATTTGTATTTTTCCCAACCATGTTAGTGTGACTTGCTCCTGTTCTATGCAAAAGACCAATTTGACTTAGTGGTGCATTTTTTTTCTGAGCCAAGTAATAGACACTCTCCATTTAGCAGCCATCTTTGGGGTCTTTTTATGTTAAAAAGGAGTTTCCAAGCTTCGCAAGAATTTCCTCAATGAATTGGTTGGGAGAAAAGAAAACCGGGAAATTGGGGGATTTAGGGAAATGCAGCTGCATGGCCATTTATACACTGGGGAATTTTTTTAAATGTCATGAATCGTGTACAGTGCATATGTAACGTGTGATAGTGTCACAAATGAATCACTTTCTTAAATCAATAACACTGAATGCACAAGACATGCACCCCAGCACATCCTTGTAGAACAAGAGTTTATACCTCCGAGACTGCACTGCAAACAGTCTTCTGGGGCCAATTTCAAGGCTCTGCTCAGCACAAAAATTTGCTTAGCTCAAAAAAAGTCTGGCTTATAAAAGCAGGTTACAGGCATGCAACTGAGAATTTAGAAAAAATGAGGACATTCCAAACCACACAAGACTTTGTACAGTGTTTTTCAATTTGTAATGGCATTTGTGAGAAGTAAAATGTATTTGTGAGAAGTAAGCATGCCTGGGGTTACCAGCCAAAACTCCATGTGATGTATATTGCTCGTGATTGGTATTCAGCTGTTGTTTGCTTTAGCATGAAAATCACATGGAGTTTTGGCTGGTAACCTGCTTTTATAAGCCAGACTTTTTTTGTGCGAAGCAAATTTTTGTGCTTAGCAGCGCCGTGAAATTGGCCCCTGGTCCGAACTTCAAAGCAGCTTTTGTTAAAAACCACAGTGACCTGTTGTCCTATTTCTTAATGCAGTTTTATCATATTGCTGGTCCCAGAGGGTCTGCCTGTTGTCCTCATTTTGACCTGACTGACTGACGGACTGACTGACCAATTGTTACTCGTGAGCTCGGCAGTGCTATCATATAGGATTTCCTCCTTGAGCACAATGAATGGGCTAAGTCTGACACTGTGCAAACCAGATGCATACAGCGGCTTCTGGTATATCAACTAAAAGAATTTTGTGGGCACTCTTGGATCCGCTTTAGTCGGCTTGCCTTGTCTTTGTTTAGTAGAATGTAGACGCTGGCATCTGTTTGTGGGCCAGACTAGTCCTGACAGCCCATCTCAAGGCTTGCCTCTTCTTGTCTGTAGGGACCACGTAGTTGTTGGCCGAGAAGACGCGAGGCGTGCGTCTTGGATAGGCTACTGTGTCCTTGTACATCATCTGCTCCTAAAAATGGCCAAAGGAAAAACAAATCCAAACAGACTTTTAATTTGCATCCACAGACTTTATTTTCAGGAGAGAGTGTGGCCAAGGGTTAGGGTTTGTGACTCATGATCAGAGGGTCAGGGGTTTGGGAAACCGGAGATACACATAAACATGAGTCTGATGAGATGACATAAAATCAATACTGCAATTTGTGCTTGAAGTGATTCCCTTTCATTCCAGCCAAGAGCAATTTACTCCCCAGCAAATAGGAAGCACTCTTGAACACACTCCCCATGGGCTCCGTGCGCCGAGAAAGAGGGCGCCCTTTTACCTAGCAACGACGTCCCATGGGCGGGACATTTCGCTGGTTGACGAGCACCGTTCCTTGTGTGTGACGCACGTACACCAGGGGATTTGTATTATGTACACGCAGTGGCCGCGCTTCGCGGAAAATGCATTGCAGTCAGGCAAGATGGTGTCGGTCGGTCACCACCAACTGTACTCTCTTTGCCGTTGAGGGGGTACTTGTGAACGGAGCGGATAGTGCGCGACGCTCAGAATAAGAACAACTACGCGCACGCAGTGTATAGCACCACCTGGGGTCTTACAAAGCACTGAATAAATTTTGGTTAATAAACTTACCCTGATACTCCATCTTAGGTCATTCCTGTTCTTCTCTCCCGGTGCTCGGTGGTTACTCCACTCTGCCTTGTACATTTGATGTCTATTCATCAAGAAAAAAAACACGTCCGGAAAAATATTTTTTTTTAGCATTTCAACAGCTGAAGTAAGTGGTTGTGCCAAATTGCATGGCATTTTTAATTTAATGTTGGAGGGTCTCGAAGGGTCTCGGATCTTCATGACAAAAACAAAGATCATTGTTTGCAGAAAAGCAAAGGAAATTAATAATGGATACTTTTGTGTCAAGCACAACACAGATTCTATCTCTGCCTTTACAATGCTTGTTTCTAACCGGATTACCTAATCTAGCATGAAAGGAAGTCGCATGAAGTTTGCCCTCGGTGAAATCTGAACTTCAAACGTTATTTTGGAACATCAAACAATCACTCAAATTTGTACTCAAATTGGCACAAACTAAACAGTGGCCAATTAAACTACATGTATGTTGGCAATAGACGGATTCATTAAGCCCCGCCAACTTGGACAACATGTGTGCCTCTCCAGCACCACACTGCCAGTCCGAGCTTTGCACGTCATATGCAAGTACATGCATGTTGGAAATTTGTGCACGCATGTCGAATACTAACCACAGCTGTGATCGGTCAACACATCATAGGGCAGAGCTTTTGTTGGGACCCTCAAATTCCGTTAAAAAATTGGCAAAGTTGGACAATTGGCCTTTTGTTAAGGTTGCAACAACAAAAAAGACAATTTATAGGCAACAAGAAAAACAGCTGACTGCTTTACCTTGAGACTGGGTCAGTCTTCTTGTCATGCTTCGTCCGTGGCTGGGCAGAGTCTGGTCTTATGACTGCACCAAAAGATATGAATGAAAGTGAATATGTTGGCCTAGTCTATGAATATCCCCTTGCACAGCTAGGGTCTATGATATGCGAGCAGATTTTGTGCCTGCCTCCAATTATAATGAGTCAATCGGAACACGTTCTCATACGGGCATGTTCTTTATTCACTTTCGGCCTGTGTCATCCTGGCACCTCAAGTATTTCATAGGCTGAATATAACGGATGAATTCCAAGTACTGGATGCCATTGAAAGCCAAAGATGAGTTCCAAACATCGAATGCCGTAAGAACTACAAGTGCAACAAATACAAACAATATCCATGTAAGAATACATGTCAATGCAATGCAACAATTACATAATAGCTGTGATTCGTAAAACTAGAGCAAATACATGTGGACTAATCCCAAATGCAAACCCAGTGAGATTGGCTAGTAATGCATGTGACTGTTAACAATATTAAATATGGCCAGCTTTGAGACATATCACTGCAATTTCCATCCAAGCCTCATGTCATCAGTAATTTGTGCTTACATGCATAACACTTAAGTAATATTGCTTCAGTCTAAAATATGCAGCTAAGGTATATTCACTTTATGAATGTGAAAATGTGGGTTGCGATAAATATCTCACGAAAGTACAGGCAACAATTATGGCGATGCATTTAAACGTCCATGATAAACGTACATTATACATAACACTCCAAGCACATGTACATTAACTAACGTGACACACGCTTACCACTGTGCCGTGTGTATCGAAGGCAGACCAAACTCTAGCGACTCTAGTGTGGCTGGTCAAAAAATACTATCTGTCGTTAACATGTGGTTCCTAACTTCGATCTAAGCTGCATCTTTCGTTTGCGATCTGTGCAAAACATCAGAGCTGTAGGCTGCCATATTGACGGCGGCCCGCCGAAAATGTATTACATTTTGTGTACCTTCGAGAACAGTTGTATGGCGCGCCAACAAGCGCTAAATTAAGTTACAGTATGGAGCGCCGACGGCTACAGATTTGGTGATTAATTATGCAAAGTGACACTGCGTCTTGACCTCTGACCATTCAGCGGGTGCCTTCTATCAGGACTTCCGTAAGCAATTGTTGTATTACAAAAACATGTCAGCCAAATTGACCAATCAACAGCGTAGTCCACATTTCTGATCAAAATGATGTCACATTTTCTAAGGTCGACTCCGATTAGTCCCCTGCACTGCTCACATATCAGACGTTGGTTACGGAGAGGGCTCCATTGGACAACTGGTGATAGTCAGACTAATGTTAACCGCACTCCACTTTAGGAACAAAATTACAATTACAAAGGATGGGATTGAAAAACTTATCTCTATGGCAATCCTTGGAAATGCACCATGTTTGTGTCCCATTTATCCTTATTTTCAATTTCCGTTTTGGCGTTTTCAAGGGTATTATAGTGCCTTTTTGGTTTTTATGCCAATGCAAATTTCCACATTCATGAGCAAAAGTGGGATGTCATTTCAGGCAGAAACCTCCATGTTACAGCTATTTCAGCACCAAAAGTGGCCAGAATTTTGGATATTTCGCTTTCATAATTTTTGTTTTCTTTGGTGATTCATTTCTTTGTCAGTACATGGCAGTAAGCCAGTGAGCAAACTTTTCTTACTAATATTTTCAATAAGCAAATTTTTTTGGGTTCACAATTTGAACACAAAATCCCCAAACTGAACAGTGTCTTCTTGAAATGACATCACAGCAACAGCGCGCTCAGTTTTCCAGAAAAGCATGGAATTTTTTTTACAAAATGTTTAAAGAAGTAGAAAGTTGTACAAAATTTGTTCATAAGAAAAATTCACTTCATGAACCTTTTAACTGCAGTATGCATTAGTAAGTGGGTTTACTGCATACTCACATGATCTAGGGAGGTGGGGCTTGAACACTGTGTTTTCATCCCCTGCTGGCCGGTGAGAATACTGTCCAAAAAAACAAGAACATTTAGGAATACTTCCATGTAAATCTTATCAAAAGTAAAATGCTATTCAGAAAAATGTAAACTTACAGAGCATTTCTAGCACACTCAGAAATCATTGTTTTTAACCTAGAAAACGATTTTGTTGAGATTTTTACCAATTCTGTGGAGGAGTGTGGTCTTCTTGTGTAAATGAGACCCATCAGGCTAGAGCTATCATCAGTCTCAGTCAGCGTAGTGTCTGCATCCTCATCATCGACTTCAGAGCCCTGTGCGTCTTGTCTCAAGGCCAAGCGAGACAAACGGTCGTTGACCTCGTGTAAGTCTCCTGTGTAGGGAAGTGATCGTGCGAAATATTGTTTAGACACTCCTTGTGTCTGAACAGTCACAGAAAGTAAAAGAAAAATCACTCCACTTCCCCTGCCATGCCTATTTAAACAGGCTAGTCACTAACAGTCACATCTCATTTCTGTACTTTGACTATTCAAATTCCATGACCTGACAAAAGCAGGTGACTGGTGGGTACAGCTGGCTTATCAATCACCTCAAAACATAGCTGTATCAAATTACATAAAGAATCACAGCCAGTTACTCCTACTTTTTGTAGGCATAGGATTCAGTCAAAATCAATCAAGTGATTGTTTTAAACTGTCAGGAATCCTGTGCTTACATGAATAATGACTGACTGGCTGTAACTGTTTATTTAACTTGATACAACTTTGCTTTGACTGAAGGTGATTGATAAGCCAGCTGTTCAGTTACCTGCTTATGTCTGTTTATGGAATTTGACTAGTCACAGCACGAAATACGATCTGACTGTTGGTGACTAGCCTGTGTATTAAGGCATGACAGGGGAAGTGGAGTGAATTTTTGACTGTCTGCGACTGTTCAGACATATCGTGTGCATCATAGTCCTCCAGTGGCTACCCGGAAATTGCTTTTTAATTCTTGGCATATCCCACTGGCTACTCATACTCTTGTACTGAATTGAGTTTATGCTTATTTTCCACCAACGTGTTTTCGTGAACACAATATACTCAGTGCTGTCAAACCGACAGGCTTGCTTGGATGGGACATGAACCCACGACCTCCTGCTTATTACTGCAGACTTCTTATCACTCGACCAATGAGCTTGCCGGGATTGGCTGGCTGTTTAAATCTGATGTGCATGTAGCAGCGGGTAATCCAGACGCAAAATTTCATCATTCAACTAATGATTTTATTTTATTGTTTGTTTTAAAAGCTGGATAAATACAATATTTATCACAACAATATTATTTGCTTACCTGATTCACTTCCTGTGATGGACTCATCAAACACCTGTGATTCGCCGTTCATCTTCCTGCAATGAATTACAAAAGGTGGAATAACAGAGGACTCCAAAATATTAAAATCACTTGCTGGTTAGGGGAGAAAGGGAAATTTAACAAGTGGTAACTTGAGGTTTACCTCAAGGTTTTATGAGGTTTAACAGGGTTACACGGGCTACCTCGGGGTTAAAACAAATTTACGAGCAGTAACTTGAGGTTAACCTCTGAAGTTTAACAGGGTTACAAGGGCTACCTCGGGGTTAAAAAAATTTAACGAGCAGTAACTTGAGGTTTACCTTGAGGTTTTACAAGGTTTAACAGGGTTACACGGGCTACCTTGGGGTTCAACCTCGAGTTTAATACCGCTTGTCAAATTTGTATTCTTCCCTTAGTGGTCAGTGGTTACAGACTCGGGTAGAGCGCTGGAGTGCCTAATTAGGGGACATTTTGAAATATCAGGTTTCTTTGAATTTGTCATGCCTTTTTACATCTGCCATTTTGTATTATCATTGCTAAACTGTCAACTATGCAAACTGTTAAAGTGAAGTCTCCAGCAATAGTTAGATGGGATTCTTGCCTTGTCCCTAACAGTCCTGAATCCAACAATTTCATTCTGATTTTACCACACCCTAGGGTGGTAAGTATTTAAGGGAAGTAGTGTCATTCAATTTGGCCTGGATCTTACCTGACCACTTTCCTCTTCATGGCTGGTTTCTTCTCGACCGACCTCCTCCTTCCTGACCTCTCTCTGCCAGGGGTACTGTCATCTGTTGTGTCCAGACCCCCAGGGGATGTATCACCATATTTGTAGCTGAATGGCTGTGGATGCTTGGCAGGGTAACTGGTTTTCTTGCTTGATTCCAGTCTTGGGGATTGTCTGGTTCGTACCGGCCTTGTCTGTTTGTGATAAATTAACCATTCAATATTATAAATAAAAGCTATTAGGAAATTTAATGGATTTGAAAATTCCTTCCATAACCTCCTTGGCATAAGTTCAAGACCTTCTCCATTGTACAATCCCAATGATGCACAGAAAATCAGTTAAGAAACCAATGCACGAGAAACCAAACCCAACCCGAGTTTGTAGGTTCAGCCACAATTTCTGATTATATTTGCTGGCCCCAGAGGGCCAGTTTATGGGCTCCGTGCTTCAACAAAAGAATGCAAGTTTTTACCACTTTTGAGAGCTCTGTGAACAGGAAACACAGCGTGTGATTACTGTACTGTACTGGTTCGCACACGAAGTACACACGACTGACTTTCATTGACTGACTGCTACTTGTAAATTAGACGGGTTACCTATCCAGAGTAATCATTGGTTTCCTATGGTGAAGCATGAGCAACTGTCCTCATGCAGTCAAGCCCACTGCTATACCACCTTTATGCAGCCTTTTTCTGAGTATGCCAGCTGTGCATGGGATCCTTCCACTAAAAAGAAAACATCACCAAAATCGAATCTGTCCAGCGTAGCGCTGCCCGGTACGCCATGAACAACTACTCCAGAGACAGCAGTGTCAACACCATGCTGAGTAAACTGGGTTGGGAGTCTCTACAACACCGAAGAGCCATCTCCAAAGTCACAATGATGTACCGGATCACCAACAAACTCATTGACATCCCTGACAACCAGCTGATTCCAGTCAACTCATCTACTAAAGGCCACAGCCAGAGAGACCTCATCGCACCCACCCGTACAACCCTACTGAAGGGCTCCTTCTTCCCAGACACCATCCGCCTGTGGAACTCACTGCCCCAGCAAGATGTCGAGTCACCAACCCTGGATGTCTTCAAGACCAGACCGAACGGTGTCACCTTCAGCTGATCAACCAGTCCCAATTAGCTGTTTTTACTTGCACATTGTATTTTATGCCTTGGGTTATGTCTGCAATTGCTTCTTTGCACGACAACCAATGTGCGAGTATACTCCAGGGGAGGTTTCTGTACAGTATATGAAGATGATCTCATAGACTGACAGTCATATGTGAATGATACTGGTTACCTATCCCACTGACTATCACTTGTGAATTGGACTGAGTACCTATCTCACTGACTGACTGTCACTTGTGAATTACACTGGCACCGCTTGCCTAGTCTTGCTTTCGAGAGGTACATACATGTACAATGTACACTGACTTTGAAAGTTGCATGATTTTATTTTCTCAAGGCTTAATGATTATTTGGGGCTGTTTGATTATAACTAGCCCTGTCACTCTAATGGTAGCAGACCAGTAAATAAACTTCCATAGACCCCAATGGTAAATGCTCCCACTTCAAAAATTCGGAAAAAATACTCACAACTCTCCAAGGTGTTCGAGACGCACATCAAATTAAAGCTTATTTCATCATCTTTCATTTTCTTTTCAATTTTTGGGGGGTCAACTGATGACTTTTAGGAGAAATGTCCATCTGAAGATGATCACCCCTGAAAATAGTCCTGAAGCCCATCGCCATTTTGAAAAACGATGCCTACACTCCATTGCAAAATAGAGCGCTTTTAGGGTCCAAATTACATCAAAATTACACAGAACTGCAAGCTCCCAGTCCTGTGCACGGCTTCCACCCATATTTTTTACAAACCCTCAAGTTCATGGCCCACAGCATGCCCAAATACCGAAGATTTTGAGGGCATGCAAATCGTGATTTGGCCGGCGCAGGCAATTTCGATTTACTGGTCTGCACCCTAATGAGCACAAAATATGCCAATTCAATCATCCCTTGGCACTGCACGAGTTAAAAAATGGTGCTCTGTAAACGTACTTACCCTTGATGTCTTGCTAGGGGCCGACACTGGCCGTCTACCGGCGGCTGATGATGACGGCATATGATGATGCCTGAGTGGCAATCGCAGATCTTCTGCAGTGTAATCTGTTGTACCAAACAAATAAACTAAATAAATACAATAAAAACATGCCATGTAGATTAGCCATATTCAGTGAGGATGACTCCGTACACAATTAACCCCTTCACTGGGAGTGACATAAGAACACAGACTGACTGACTGTCACTTGTGACTTAAGCTTGGAGCACACCTTCCCGATTTTACCGGTTTCCCAGATCACCCCATAACGGGTACGTTTTTTTTTTCAGAGTTGCAGTTACACCCCAACGTCGCCCGCTCACATGCCTAATTCCGTCAAAAAATCATTCACATGATGGGCAGTCACACGATGACCAGTAACATGACGACCATGTGACTTCCTTCGTGAATCTGATTGGTCAACATAAATATTGCGTCCGGTGAAATCGAATCCGGCGGCGAAATCGGATGAGAAAAAAATCAAACATGTTTGACTGCATCTGGTCGCCCAGTGTATGGTCAGATCGGTCCGAATTTTCAGAGCACACCTCTGTACGATGGTCTGATGATCCAGTGAACTAATAAAATCAGAAAGGTGTGCACCGGGCTTAAGATTGATTGTACGTGTAGGCTTGTGAAAAGAGCCAGGCAGTGCTATCTGATTACTCCGTAATGCCAATGGCCTATTGTGTACACCATGAAAAGACTTCCAGCGAATAACCATTCTGAATTATCTGAATATAATTTTGTTTGCTTTGACTTAGACTGGTCTGGGGCCAGCGTTGCTATGCTTGCCTAGTCGTTTTGACTTTGCAGGATGTAGGACATACTTGGCTTCACTTCAGACGCAATGCATCCCTTGCATCCAATAAATTGCATCATGTTCCACATCCAGAGATGAAACTGGCATATGGCAAAAAAATCGGAAAATAGGCCGAACGAAAATACGTGTCCGAAATCTGCTGCCATTACACACATGTACATGCATGTAAAATACACTTCATGCCCAATTTCTGGACACCAACTCCTGCTTTATTTTTTGATTCAAACAAAATTTTACGATGAAAAAAAAAATGGTGAGTGTTTTCATTGCATAAAATGCCTGAATTACGGTTAGAGTAATGGAGTCATCAATAAAGAAGTTCACTTCTTACTTGAGAAAGTCGAGGGAAAAGTCCGAAAGACAAGGGCACCGTTCATGGTGCTTCAATCATGTCCATTGCATTCATACGTGGGAAAAAATCAGGCATTATCGTCTTTCTCTTCCAACAAATGCCAGTGAAATGTTTCGCTAATGCTCTCTTCGCTATCCTCGAGATAATCATTATGATTTTTAAAGCATTGCATTTTAAACAACTAAATCTGAAACCTCGGCAAATCGCACAACGTAACGATTTCATCCACTGGATCGTTCACAAGGCTACCCGTTCCCGACCGGCCGTGAGCTAACGGACGGTACGGTGCATGCAGTACGTGCGCTGGTACCATTGTATATTCGCACGCACGTGCGACACTGATTTTTCCGTCCAGCCGGAGAAGGCTCCGATCAGTGTTATGCCCTGTGTTTCTACCGTTGAAACACTCCAATAACGACTGGTGAAAGAGTTTAAAACTACGTTCGCGATGATTTTAACGTGACATTTCCATCGACTTTTCTTCGAAATTATGATTGAAATAAAATAACATTTTGTGAAAAAATCGTTAGAAAATCAAATTTTGTGAGATGCACTGTAAAAAAATCGGAAATGTCGTTGGAAAATTCAAAAAGTCGGATTTCCGATTAAAATCGGAAAAGTTTCATCTCTGCACAACACGGAAGCCAACGTTTTTTGTTTTTTTTCTTGTGACTAAGAACACATAAAGTAACTTTGCATACCCGAGTCAGATGCAGAAGAGGCTTCACTCGGTCCTTCTCTGTCAGTGTCATATTTGATCAACTGGTCCAAATCTACAAAACAAAACAAACAAGGAAGAAAGGAACAGATCACTTTAATTTAAAAGCACATTTCATTTCTATTTTTCTTTACAAATACAGGATCACATACATAAGATGTAAAAAAAAAAAATGTGTTTCAGCTGCTTTTTGAGCATACAATGTTTATTGTGCATAATACACATTTAAATTAATGTGCACAAAATACAAGCACCTTCACACAAGAGCAATGCGCCTTCAATATTCATTTTGTGGTTTTTAATGTTGTAGGGACAATATGTTTAAGTGTGTGACGTGGGGCTATTTACCTGGAGAGCTATCATCTCTTGTCAAACTAAAAACTGCTTCCAATAACTGTATAGGAAATGTAAATGTACTGCATTTACGGTTGATATGGGAACCAGGTACCCCATTGATTTAAAACACGGGTAACCGGGGAACCCGTAAAAGAAAAACACCCCAAAATTCAGCAGGGTACCAACCTTGAGCAAACTGTTGGAGTTGTGCCGCTGGAATGTTGTGGTATCCCAGCATGGCCAATTGCTGACGGATGTCATCCTCACTGAACTGTAAACTACTGTCCGTGTCATCCATTGCTGGTGGAAGGGGGAAAATAAGGCGCAAATATCAAAACTGGATCATACGTGTATCCAATGCCAATGGCAATGCCCTGTTGACGGCATACAGATCTAACATTAGGTCTGCCCTGTACAAGGGTGATTGTGCAGTTAGGGACCCCATTCCTATATACAACAAAAATCCAAGTTTATGGACTCTCCCAACTAGCCCCCTCACACGTAAACGTGCCTATATACATGTACATGTATACATAGCCATGCTTCATTCATATCTCTGAACTTTCGAAATTTCTAATGCTCATGTTGATGTGGGCTCCCTGTTTTCCCCTCGAATTTTTTTTTGAAATGACGGATCCTATGCCACTGGAACTTCTTGGATAAACCCTTATGTAAGTGCTGAATATATAGTGCTCGTTAAATTTCGAGACTGTAAGTGGAAGGTCTCCAACCGGGATTTGGAACACGTCGAAAGTCCAGAGATTATGAACGGAGTGTGGCTATGAATATAGCCACATTTACAGGTCTACCAACTAGCATACTAACTGCATAGTTAGCAATATAAAAAACACACAGACGACAGACATGACAGAAGTGTTATTCCTCCATTGATAGAGGGCAGGATTTTTAATTTTTGAGAGAAATTTTGGGTTAAAATGAAAATGAAGACGACAAACTGCAACACAAAATTAACCCATTAGCACTTGTCATGCTTGTACTCATTGTATTGTGCTTATTCACTACGACATCAGTGCGACAGTTCCAGATCACTGTTTACACAAAACGCTGTACACCCGTCTATGTTCAGGGATTCCATGTCCGAGTGATATCATTTTGTAGTAACATTCCTCCTCTTCAAGTTAAAACCAAACATGTTCACACAGACTTAACTTAAACTTAAAAGGGAAATGAATCATGGTTTTTGTACAGGACTGAACCCGACAGTTGGTTGCGGACCACTTCGACAGTTCCGGATCACGCATGCTGCGCTGCTACCTGGGATAAGTAGGCTTATGCATTTGTCTTTCACAGCCCGCTCAACGCGTGCTTCGTGTGTCATGCTTTCATCATCTAAACTGCACACACAAAGTTCTGTCTCACGCGCGGGGATAAAAATCTTTTGGCAAATACGGCAATTCATTTAATTCAATTGCCAAAATCATTAAATACTCAGTGATACTTCAGATTATTTCCTTACAAACAAGAAAACCTGATAATAATAGTCAAGACAAAAATGATAAATGTTGACTACGTTCCACAAGAAACCAGATTTTTGCCTTTACGCACTTCCTTCACAGGCCAGTTACAAAACATGTTGCAAAACAAGCGGATTTTTCGCCGAACTGGATCATGGGTAACGTTTATGCGATTTTCAAAATTTCTTTTACCCGACAATTGCAAAATGATACTATAAACCTTCAAATTGGTGAAAACTATTCTTGGAAAAAATTGGGTTACACTAGAATTTATCTTAATTTAAATTTTAATTTATCTTAATTTAATTTAAACTGTCGATGATACGGAACTGTCGCACTGCCACTGATCATCAGATGGAAGTTTGGAACAGGGTCCTATTCCAAAACTAGTACTAGTAGTAGGCCTACACCTGTATAGTGGTGTTCCCTAACGTGGCGCACTTCGACATTTACCCCAACTTTCCACATCAGTGTTGCCAAACTTCTTTGTTGACAAACTTCAAATTCATTCAGTGAAATACTGGTACTTTTACCTTAATAATGCTTGCTATTTTACCTCTGTGAACAATTCAGTTTCATGAAATTTAATCCAAAATTCAACAACGGTTGAATCGTGGCGCACTTGAACAAATCTCAGAAAATTCCAAATTAACATAAAACAACAATACATTTAAGAATTTCTGTAAAGTTAAAATGATTCTGATAAACAATTATTATCTCTACTTAAACCAAACTAGGTCACGCAAAATCCAACCAATCAGAGCGCGAATTCATCAGAGTATCCCAGCGTCCTGTTTGCAGGGCGGGGGGTCCGGGGACGAGCGAAGGTCGAGGATACATCAACAATCGATACACAAAATTAATGGCCCACGGACGTACGGGTCAAAACACGTAATACTCACCTCAAAATCAAAAACAAGTGTTGTTCCGAACACTTTCTGTTCTCCTGTCAATGTGTTCCTTCCTCTTAATATTCAAATCACGCTTTTGTCCAGGAAATTCAGGGAAACAAATTTAAACCGTCCGCTTGTTTACAGTGTACAAATCCAATGATCAAAAATATGTACAAATCCAATGATCTCGCTCTTGAGGGCGCTCTTTATATGGTCTACGGCTCACGAAAAATCAAAACTGGCTGTGCAGCATTGGCGGCGCTATACAATCTTTGCTGTGAGTGCAATATATAGACACATGGGCCGGGCCCCTTCGCTGTCTGCCGTGAGGACAGGTTTTGTACTATAACTTTAATTCAGTGACAATGAAAGTAACAAGTTTCCACCCATTCGGATCACAAATTAAATTGACCGACCCCAATGAAATTCCTGGGCAATGGGCAGGGGAATCAAAAACATGCAACCAATCTATTGGAGTTATTGGGTTAGGTTTTAGATTTGATAACCAGAATTTCACAATGGGAAAATTGAACTTGAGAGATGATCAATATAACAATTATTAACAGCGTAATAAGGGGCCTTTTAAGGTTTCTCATTTTTTATTTAATTTGCATCACCGTGCTCTTTCGAGTTTCAGCCCGCCAATCTTTTTCTAAATTACTATTTTTCTAGCAATCCAAAAGTTATTTAATTTTGAATGAGGCATTGACCGAAAAAAATTACCCATAAAGCATGTTTAGTTATTGAATTATTACTTTACAACAATAATTCCGTTCTCATTTAGGCTGGTTCCGGGTCCAAAATCAGAATCGATAATGTCCAGACCCGGGAGCAAGTCTGGTCGCAAAGTGGATCTGTTACAGCCCCCCCCCCCCCATCCCCCCCCCCCAAAAAAAAGGGGGGGGGGGCAGAAAAGTGTTGTTGTGATGTCTTCGGTGCTTTCAGGTATATGTACTTCCGACGAGATGATTTGTATAGGGAGGAGTTTCTACACGGGTGTTCATGATACTACTGACGCATGTTGCTCAGCAACAACTCCATGCATAACAAAGTCTTAGCACGCAGTATATCGTTCAATAACGATATTATCAGCAGCTATGAGAATACGCGTCTTTAGGACGGAAAGCTTTACGTGGTACCTTGTATACTGCGTGGCACTCTATGATGCGATCCATTGTGTTTATGGTGGCTTTCCTGGCTCATTCAACATCACCGCGCATCCTGGTGGAAATTCCGGGAAAAGGGAGGGGCACGATATATTTAAGGGAGGGGGGGGGGGGCACACGAACCAGTGACACCCTTCATGCCCTTACTCGTGATGTGACATCTCGTATATATAGCAGTCTGTACGCTTACTTAGTTCATTTAACACATAGCCTCACAAAGAAGTGACTTTTCTGGGGTGAAGATAAAATGGGTGTGATATGGGAGAATGTCCGACCGCTGCTGCGATGCGTCTCAATCATCGTCAATGTGCTCGTATTAATGGGGGTTGGATTATCTCAGGCAAGACCATCTACAACACCGGTAACGTATATGATCCTGTGTTCCTAGAAATGTATTTACATGTATCTGTAATTTATTCTGTTGACCACTATGGAATTTACTGCACGCAGCAGCGCATCGGAAACTTGTAGGCAATTTGGAAATAATTATGTTCACAGCGCGTGGAAAGAGATCCAATCCAAATTGGGATTGGGCACTGGGATTGGTTAAAAGTTCGTACCATCTGTGTTTTGGAGGTGTGGCTTCCAGACAAAAAGGCCTTAGATGTTGTTAGGCCAAAAAAAAAGTCTCCGGTTTCTGGTATGGAGCTTGCCCAAAAAGTGGTGCGGCGACGCAGCTTTTTTTTTTTTACCTCAAATGTCGGCTGATGACTGCAAATGGTGCCCGACTAAACTTAGTGCAAATATATGGGATCCAGAAAGGCCACATAAAGCTTATTCTCGATCATAACCCCATCCAAAAACACGTTAAAATTGTGCAGCAGCAGGATTCAAGTCAAACCAGTGAGTTTGGCGGTTTTGAGACATCATCTTTCATTGAAAAAAAACTTTTTCATTTTGCCGACGCGCATGGCTACGGCGACGCGCGCGCATACCAGAAACCGGTGACTTTTTTTTTTTGCCTTAAAGAGAATTGTGTTTTAAGAGGAAATTAATGGACAGCTTTCCAATTAGACATTGCGCCTAAAAAGAAATTGGCTCACAGAAAGTGAGGGATAAAAAGCTTCAAATTTTTAAATAGTCGTCAATCCTTCACTTGAAGCGCAAAATAAATTTAAAACAACTTTTGGTAGAATTAAAACAAAATCGTAAAATATGCGATGCTTTTTTTTTTGGTAATAAGTTAGCGATATGATTATCCATTAAATTTGTCAAAGACCAACTATAATCTTCACGTTGTTTGTTTCATCGCCGAAAGCAAACTGGAGAAAATAATAGAGTAGGGAACACAACAAAATATATATAATGTAGGCTATGTTCAATTTGCAGAACAGGAATCGTTTGTCCGTGTTCAAGGGCGGATCGGGGGGGGGGGGGGGCCAAAGGGGGCCATGGCCTCCCCCCCCCCCAAAAAAAAACGAAACCAATTTTTTTTTTTGGATGTGACATCGCAATAAAGGCAGGCAATGAGTACACCACCATCTTTTCCTCAAAAAAAAAATTGGTTAAAGTGGTCAGAAATTGCCTCAGATCGCAACACAGAGCATCTAGAATCCAAAAAAAATTCGGGGCCCTAAAGCGGGCCCCGAACCCCACGCCGTAATTTTTTTGGGGTCCGCACATTAGTCCCACGCCTCATAGGTCCGACGCCTCATAAGTCCGACGCCTCATAGCTCCGACGCCTCGTAGCTCCGACGCCTCGTAAGTCCGACAAATTAAACGCCTCGTTTTTCCGTTGTCGGACTTATGAGGCGTCGGACTGATGAGGCGTCGGACCTATGAGGCGGAATAAATAAATGTTATACCTCATAAGTCCGACGCCTCATTAGTCCGAAATGTCAGACTTAGATATACCTATTAGTACTGATCTTTTTGACATACCTCTCCGTAGGCCTATGTGACAAAAACGTTGGGCGCAGCGGATCTATTTGGTCTGAGGGTTTAAAGTCACAAGTGACACTCAGTCAGTGAGGCAGGTACATGCAAGGTCAGGCATACTAGGCGGGACTTCAGTGTTACCAGCAAAACCGCTGTTTTATTTTCAACAATAGATGGAGTCCTCCGATCTAACTACGGCCCCCAATCTCTCGAAGACGCCTCTGGCGGTTAGCATGGAACCGAAGGAAGAGGAGCCAAGTCCCGGGGCTGTTCAGTCAGACATGATGCTGACAGCGGCCCAGCTTACCTTGTTACGGGAAGCAGAGGCGGACGAAAGGAGAGCTATCCGGCCGACAAACGGACGGAGAAGACGGCGGAGGAAAGCGGTGTCTGACGTGGCCAGGCTGTGGCCACGCGGAATCATCCCGTATGAAATATCCCTGTCTTCAAGTAAGTGATAAATAAACATGTTGTTCAGATACCTGAAATTGTAGATTCGTCAAATTCGTCAAATTCACTATGAGATCAGAAGTTTTTTGTTGTTGAAATGAAGACTACCAAATTACCCCCGTCTTGAATGTTCTCGTTTAAGACAGTTTCCAACTTTAAGATCTTCGTTGAGTGAAACAGTATATTTTACCCAGACCGATTATGTGAAATGTACGTTTTGTTTATGGAAATGTCTCATTACTGTAATGTCCTGTGGACATGGTGGCTACTGGATACAGAACGACCGGGATTTGCAGTTAACAAACATCACTAGTACTGAGCGTACCTTTGCCAACAATCCCTCAAAGACTATGATTTTTAACCAAAGAAAAAAACTAATAAAAATGGGTCGTACTGAAATACATATAACGTCGACAGAGAAAACAGTGAGAAAAACTACAAAAACAAAACAAAAACTGAAGGGGTTGACTTAAACCAGCCGGCTATGGCAAATTCGCCTTAGCGGGAGCTGGCGGGGAGGGCCTTACTTGACGCTAGGGGGCGCTCTTTCCCCTATTTCTACATGTAAAAACAGTGACTAAGACAGAGACATAGTTTACAATGAACCAAATATGCTTTGATAAAAGTAATATTCAATCAAGGAAGTGTATTTTACCAACAAAAAATCTTCATAATTTCTCCAATCCGCAGTGTCTGATCGTACTATAATCGAAGATGCCATTGCCCATTGGGAGGACAAGACGTGCTTGGACTTTAGGCCATTTAACCGCAGACTGATGCGCGATCTACGACATACCAGCAAGATCGTCTTTTTCAAAGGATCGGGGTATAGTGCAAAAGTCTGTTGTCTTTTGAAATGAACGAATAGCATTTAGGCCTAATAACCTTCTTTTTTTTCTACCACATTTAGTATTTTATTTTTACTCGGTTTTTCGGTTGTGAGTATCCTAGTAGCACTGCATGTCCACGGCTGTCGTGTTTAACAAAAAGTCGACCTTGTTTTACGAGTCCGAACTTTTCATAGTCCTTTTCTCCGTTTACAAGCCTTTCTCTCTTTTTCGTGTTCGGTTGATGTGCTGTTATTCATCTATGTCCATCTTCGGGCCAATCGTCTCAAATGTATATATTTTGGTTGAAATGTTTTTTGTTTTGTTATCAAATCATGATCATCCTAGGCATTGTGGTCATAACGAAAGTACACGGAACTACTTTCCTACTTCTGACAGATGCTGGTCAAGCGTCGGGAGGTCCCACAGCGGAGCCCAGAGCATCTCGATCGGAGAGGGGTGTGCTGTCGTAAGTCATCATAACTAACACATCTCACACACACAATGTAGTTTGTTATTAAAAAAACACCAGACATTTCGGCTGTTTGAAATGACTCTGTGACATTGTGATGACGATATGACAACGTCACATAATGTCATCTATAACCCATCCCGGTCTATGTAAGGTATAACCAACAAACGGACATACAGTTCTGTAGATAGAGATTTGAAAATGTGAAATACCGAATAAGAAATCCTCTGCCATACACAACCCTTCAGCTTGACAAAAGTGACAGAAGACCCTCGATATGATATTACTTCATATGAATCTTCTTCTCCCCCAATATTGTTATATATAATTTGCTGGTCCGACAGGGCCAGCTTGGTGTCCTCTGTACCTATCTGACTGACTGACTGACTGACTGACTCCCCGAGGCTGACCGATAGACCAACGGACTTACTGACTCCCCGACTGACTGACTCCCCCTGACCGACAGACTGACGGACTGATGACTGTCACTTGTAACTTAGACTGGTTGTAGGCTGGTGAAAAGAGCCGGGCAGTGCTATCTTAAAGGATATCTCCTCTCCTGTTACACTAATGAAAGGCTAAATCCGCCCACTGTATAGACCAGATGCATGAAGACTTCCAGTGAATAGCCGAATCTTGTGCGCCCCGGGACTGGCTGTACTAAACTTGCCTTGTCGTCGTTTCTATTTCATTTTCGAAGCTGGGATCAATCGTGCATGAGATAGGCCACGCCATTGGCTTCTTCCACGAGCACTCACGCCCGGACCGGGCCGATCACATTCGTGTCCACACGGAGAACATTCACCCGCGATACCACCAGGACTTCCGTGCGCTCAGCTGGGGCCGTGTGGCCACCATGGACGTCCCGTACGACACCAAGTCGATCATGCACTATGGATCTCATGTAAGTTGAAGAAAGAAATACATGAAACGTACACAAAGAGGTAATATCTATGTTGTAAAGGTTTGACATCAAACATCTGCTTTTTGCAGTGTAAAGGACAGGGGGAAACGGGAATTCCGTTAGCTCACAATGTTCACGGCAATAACGACCTCGAATGTCAGACTTTTTTTCTGATGATCTTTTTTTTTGTATGGTTCCGTTTTCCAGTATCAATCAATGAACGGTGAAGCCACTATCACGACCATTGACCCTTTGCAACAGGCCAATCTGGGCCGGAAGGACGCTCTGAGCTTCGGCGACGCCAAGTTGGCTAACATCATCTACCAATGCAATGGTGAATATGTCATTATTATTGAGCGAGAAACAACGTTTTTTTGGGGGAGGGGTTTGTTGTTGTTGTTCAAATCTATTGGACACAATTTACGACCTCGGTAAGTGACCTGTTAAACTTGTATGAAATAGGGAATGTAAAAGACGTTTCAGAAAGTAGCGAATTTGCTGTCAAAATGTGCTCTAACCGTTCACACTCGATGTGGACCTGTGAATAAAAGAGGCTCTTATCTTTCAAACCAAAAGACAAATTAAAGTCTGGGTGCACCTTATTGTTCTTAGTCCGCTAATCCTGATGTGGTGCACGATCGTACCTCGATATGGCATCCAATGTATGGTCAACAGAACAAAACTGAAACAAACATAATCCGATGCACATTTTCATTAAATTTCGTCCTCTCTAGCTCACTGCGATATCACAACGGCCGAAACTGAGTGTCTCAACGGAGGATACATCGGGCCGAGCTGTGGCTGCGTCTGCCCGGACGAATACTCGGGACAAAACTGTTCAGTTTACACACCGAAGCTGACAGGTACGTCTGTGGTACTTTTTAATTCTAAAAACAGAAATCACAAAGTCAATCATCTAAATCAACAAGGGATGGGCTAAAACTAACACCGCATGCACTCATTTTTTTTTTTTAACCTTTCACGTTCTCGTTTAAAGCAACAAAGAAACGTACTCAGCAACGTACCTACCAACAACAAAAAGTGAAATTTCATTCGAATTTGCGACTTCCAGGATACTGTACCAGCTCGGTAAAATGTATTTTTTTTCTGAGAAGATTATTAACAAATTATTGGCAATTTGATGACGATTTTTCAATAAGAGGAAAAAATAACTTGTTTACCAAATCCTTGTTCACCACTACCTCACCTTTTACAGGATGTGTTCGGGTACTGACGGAGGAACGCGGCGTGGTATCAAGCCCCAACTTCCCGGCTGCCTATGAGAATGACATGCATTGCATATGGCAGATTAAGGTATACAAATGTACATAAAAGACCGTGCATCTGAGCGAAATCGGGTGCTCCAACGACGCCATTTTGAGGTTACAAACAGACGTGATTCCTAGTTTATATTTGGGTAGTTTTATAAGCTGATATAAGTAAAATAAAATCAAATGTTTACAATCTGATATAAGTAAAGTTGCAAACTTGCTTCAATAAACGATGATAGGCCAAATTCTACTGTTGATAGTCCTACCGTGACGTCTGCACAGCGACCTCATTCGCCATGTCCCATTTTAATATCGACGATAATTAATAATTATCATGTGTCTGTATGATTTTTGTTTTGTCCTATTTGTTTTGCGGCCCAAGGAGTGGAGGGACTGGGGGCGTTTGACCGCATAACCCCGCCCCCCCCCCCCCAGTCCGCCACTGCGATCATTGACCTGTGCTGATAGTATACCATTACTTTTTCTATCATTCTTTTTTTCAAACATGCAACACAGGGCAGTGCCAATTCGACGATACAGGTAAACGTACTTTCCTTCTCCATGGAAGGTGGGGATGGTTGTCCCTATGACTACTTCCGGTACCTTCAAAGTGACATGCGCCCTCTTGGGCCAAGGTGAGAAACTTGCGGTTAGATCTGGGCCACATTTTTTTTAGCGAACGAGGACTTAATGAGCCTTAATGACATCATTTTTTCCGGGTATAAACGGACATGAATGCAAAGTTAATTGTTGACGTAAAATAACATGCTCAGTGGACCGCACAATACGAAAACAAGTGCGAGTGCACAATAAGCTCTGGCGAAAAATGCGACACCGATGGCACATATGGAACACCATACTTTTGGTCAGTTTTCGGGACAGACAGACAAAACCATCCGATCGACCGACCGACTGACCGACCGACCGACCACCAAGTGACATGTAGTAGCTCCTGCCAGAGCTTAAAAACACACCTGGCTGTTCTGATTGCCAGAAATTGACTGAAAGGAATGACGATACAGGTGACATGGCTTATACGACGAACACATAATAACCCTCAACAAAGTTTAATCATCACAAGACCGTCTGATGACTGCTTATTTACAATAAGTGTTTCTTTGTTTTTAACCGCCATTTTAGATATTGCGGAGAGACCTCGCCACCTACGAATGTAACGTTCCCTATCAATGAGATCGTCGTTGAGTTTCAATCAGATGGGGAAATCAATGACAACGGATTCCAATTCGAGTATCTGTTTGTATCCACTTGAATCGGCCGGGCGCCCTCTGGAGGTTATCAGGGAAGTGATCCCCTCCCCTCCCCCCCCCCCCAAAAAAAAAGGGAAAAAAGGGCAATTTAAATTTAGCCATAATTTAGCCAGAATCAATCTTTTATACTTCTATGTGCAATAAAGACCACATTTTTTAGAAAATGAGGGCGCTCACGGTGACGCGATTTCTGGGTACCATTATTGACGAAATATCACGTTTATCGACGCAATTAAAACTTTACTTGAGTCTAAAATTAAAGATTGTAAAAATGTAACCTTTGATTTGTAGCGACATAAAATCGCGTCAATAGCGTGGGATTCACTTATGCTTGAATTCCCCAAATGTCTTCGTTACAGCGCCCCCTATTGGCATGAAGAACCCCTAGTTTCATCTGAGGTCCAGTCTGCAACACCCTACTTATAGAAATAGCCACAGCCGACTGAATAATACTTTCTGCAGTGACTAATCATGGATCACGTTTGAGAATCATGAGAGTTCTTCATAAGAATTAATTTCTTTGCTGACAAATTTATGATCAACTTTTGATGTTTTCAGTTCACTCTGGCCATTGTGCTGGATATGGACCAACACTTGCAAATAGTGGCATTGTGTCGCGATAAAGATTTAAGATTTCAATTTTGTTAAAGATTTTGTTCATGCTTTATTGGAGTAACAAGAACAAATTTCCTCCATCTGTAAAGTTTTCGGCAATTTGCAGTTTGGGTGCGCGACTGATGGTTTGAAATTTAAGTGCTTCTGAAGTATTTTCGGAAGTTTTAGGCCTACATGTAAATAAAAACTGATTTTGAAAGAGTCTAAATAAATTATTTACATTGTACATACACTCTACAGAAGTCTTTGCTTTCGATTTTCTTCTTGAAAATTGTCGTTTATTTTTATATTACTGATCAGAGTTATTGAGCCTAAATCTCCACTTCCTAATTTGCATATTTGTAACAATTGTGTATTTAAAATGCAAAATGATCGTTTACATGTGTTAATTTTATCCAGGAACAACACCACTCGACAACTACACACGTGTTGATTAATTTGCATCATAAGCAAACATATTAAAAAGGGTGTATACGACAGTACAGTCGACTCTCGTTATTGCGAGCTCTGCTTGTTTTAATTTTCCGCATTTTATTCACGCGAACCAAGTTGCTTAAACAAAATTAAAGGAAACTCTAAAATATGAAAACATAATAAAGACGCATTAAAGACCAATTCTGCAAAGTTAATTTAAAACATAAAGAAAGAAGAGAATTTCTTCCTGGGGGAACATGTCCTCTCCCCTCTAACCCTAAACTTTCTGAGGCTAAACATTGAATATCACCGTAAATATAGGAATATGAATAAATCACCAATACTTTTTCAGTGAATTGTAAATATTCATGGAAAGAAATTATCCGTGCACAAAAGGATTAACCAGATTCCCGAATAGGACCACCGGTCCTGCGTGATGTTATTTGCCTTCTTTTATTCTGCGCAATATTTCGCCATTTGTGTTAGTGTTTTGATGGCATTGCGGTAGCCGGCTAGCCAAATGTATAGTGGTCAAAACAGCGGCGGGCTAGGCAAACTATTCCTAAAGTAGCCCGGCTGGCGAGTAAAAAATTATTGGGATCCGGCAAAGATGAAAGGACAGAAACAAAATTAATCATTAAATTCAGAAAGCAAACCTGTATCAATTTATGTCTAATTTGAACTGTTTAGGGGTTAAATTATTAGATCTGTTTATTAAAAACACTGACAAGATTGCCTCAGGATACACGTTTTACATGACATTGTTGTTTATGAGACATTCTATAATTAAAAGAAAAACATGTGGGCTAGTGAAAATACCCGCAGGCTAGTTAAGAGTCTGTTTCAGTAGCCCGGCTGGCTAGTGAAAAAAAAGTTAAGGTCGAACCTGCCATTTCCCATTGTGAATTTTCATATCCAAGAGATATGGAACCAAACAGGTTTAGCTAAAAAGATCGTTTTCTATACAGTGAGGTCATACTTAATGCTGAAAATCTCAGGATAAAGTCACAAATGAAGAGGTTCTGGACAGAAACATGAAAGGAACACTATATTAATGAACGACATAAAACAAAGAAGATGCCATATTTTGGTCACATGATCCGAGCCGATAGTCTTCAGAGGCAGCACATAGAGGGAATGGTGGAAAGAAAGCGGAAGAGAGGACGCCCCAGACGCAAGTGGTCAACAGACATCTCGGGAGTGGAGCGGCAAGAGGTATAAGGGATGTGTGAGAGCAGCGCAGAACAGACAAGGCTGGAGATCACTGATTACCCACCTGCTGACAAGCGGAAGGCACCAAGACTGACTGACTGACTGACTGACTGACTGACTGACTGACTTGGATAAATTCTAGAGTTCGACGAGACGGTTCCAGGAAATATCTAGTTCGCCTAACACGCGAAAGGTCTCTGGTTCGAACCCGGGCGGACTCAATTATTGTTCACACAAAACGTCATAAGACCCCTATTTCTAAATCCCCCCCCCAAAAAAATCACCCCCGATTATTCGTTTCAACCCACTCCAGATCCATTAGCCTATTTGAGATATGGCGGGACGCAATAGGAGGACCCTATTTTGGTTTTAGTGAATACAAAAGACATTAGGGCCCTACCCAAATCAAACAGCGCCCTCCTAAATTGTGTCTGCCATAATCTCAAATAATGGCGTAGTGCTTTACATACGGCAATCATTTTGCAATAGCTCCTCGGTTCGAACCACTGATCTCTATACTGACTGGATAGCGCTCCGTGGGATGAAGTCACTGGACGCCATTTTGAAGCTCGCATTGGCCACGTGAAAGTAGGCCTATTATGCAAAGACATAAAATAAATTAAAATACTTCAACAAATATTAACATGAGTGAAAAAAAAACCTGTGGGCAAAATGAATAAATAAAAACCTGTTTGATGATCCGAAATCGCTTCATAAACTATTGTAATTCTGTGGGTTTTTATATACGGATCCGTGCGTTGTGTGTGGGGCTTTTTTCGAGCTTCAAAATGGCCACCGCGTGAGTGCGAGGGCGACACGCACGGTATCAGTGTGTACACGCATAGGTCCAAGCGCTAGTGCTATCCAAGGGTTCGAACTCGTTCGGATAAACCTTCCCCCCCCCGAGTGTCTTACCTTTTCTATTAAGTAAATCACAATCATTAAAACCCTAAAACAACTCATGATTCTGTAGTATAGCGGTTATCACGTTCGCTTTACACGCGAAAGGTCCCCGGTTCGAACCCGGGCAGAATCAATTTTTGGGGGTGATTTTTTGTTGTTGTTTCTTTTTAAACAGCGTGTTGCTTGTGTGTTCCGGTACGGTAAAGGTACAAAAAAAGTGCATAGAACAGCTAAAGACAGGCCTAACTGAAAATAAAAGCCTGACCCCAAACTCTGGACATGCACTGAATAATATAAAATACAAAAACTTTTATTCAGTCACATTGTCAGTTGAACTAAATAGATTTATACATTTTTGCAACATCTTTTAAAATCAAGTCCTGGGGCAATTCCAAATAGGGACCGGACGGAGTCACTGACGTGACGCAAGAGGGCGGTATGTCACGTGTTGGGTCAATGCGAGTTCGACAGGCATGGGAACTCCAAATTTGCCATAGTTCGGCTTTAAAGTCTACTACCTATCAGTCAATAACATACATGTTTTATACTGATCTTGATAACACCAACCCAGCATATATAAGCTCTATAAAAAGATTTCCTTACAATACCGAGATCAATGGGGGACGATAGGCCTTCACGAAAAAAGACTAGTCGAACTTCGAGAGCCACTGACTCGGGATGAGAAGTCACTTTTACTTCCAACAAGTCCACGAATCTGCTGCCTCTCAGAGGGGATTTGAATATTGTATTACTAATTATAGGCCTATATAACTAATTCCCTAAATTCCTACTATCTGAGCATGGAGCTATAAAACGGATAGCTTCATGATCTGAGCAACTTGAACCCTAAACCTATGCGTGGGGACTGTTTCGGATCGGTTCGTTCGAATTCCTGATACGTCCGGATGTGGATATGGTTTTCCCTAGAATATTCTTCTGGGGTTTTCCTCCCACCTATAAAACTGTGAAATCTTCAGTATTTACTCTCTACAGGTTACTTCAGGCTTGCGAGCTACAAGAATGCTGCCTCTGGTACTGTCGAGGAATCCTAGGTTGAGGTTCCAGTTAATAAAACAATAAATACCTTTATTTTACACGACACGTGCAAAACACCACGCGCCTAAAAAAATCTGGTTTCGCTTGAATGAAAGCGCGCCCTCTAGCGGTAACCTGCTCACATTTCGATATGCCCTGTCAATTTGACGTCACATCTCATCCTCCATCACGACGCCTTGGAAAAGTAAACCTCGAATTCTTTGGAATTTTCACCGATTTCCTCGAGGATCGAGCGGTTTGATCTTCAACCAACAGTACCTGGATAATACTGGATAAATATGAGTCGGACATATCGCCATCAAACCACTGAATTAGAGAGAACTATGGCCGACATGTAACGCATGTTTTATCACACACCCAGTCAGCTCGTGCGAAATTTACCAACTATGGCGGCGATATCGCTGTGACGGGCAAAATATTTCACAGAACACGATGGAGAACGATACAGGTCCACCGCAAAACCATATTAACCAGATGAATTCTGGCAATGCAAATGTAATGAACAGTTTACCAAATAAACAGCATGACGATAATCAACGAATGAACTACACAATACCGGGAATATTACATTTTATTCAACATGAATGGGCACGGTTTGAGATGGAGAGGGCGCAATGGGAAGTTGAAAGGGCAGAATTGCAGGTAAGGCCGGCATCATGATCGCCATCCATCCAGCATGATGACTTGTGAATCTTTATGCCCTGTGGTGTGCATGGAAAGGACTTGAACATTTGTCTCTTGTAATTGTATGGGTGACTGTGAAAATGATGATTGTAGCCTAGGGGGCCTATAACATTTACCAGTGGTTTTTATGGAAAGAATGTTGCATCCTGATGCCACTTTTTTCATCATATAATCTCAATGAAGGTTACAAAAATGTTGAGAAGACATTATTCTAGGACTGAAAAACATTTCCAAATTTGTTAGAAAATACTTTGAAAATGGACTCGACTCTCCATCGACTTTGTTTACAACCAAAGAAGCGGCGTCAAGATACCACATAGGCCTACATTCTTTCCAGTATTATTCTTGTTTAAAGGGTAAGTATAGGCCTACTAGCTGCTGGGATGGGAGAAACACATTCAAGCTGTCAACAGTCATGACAGTATTAACAACACATTCAATCTGTCAGCATTTTCCCCCAAAATTGCGATGATTTTAGGTTTTCATTGTGAAAAAAAGGGAAAATAATTATAGCCTAAATCATTTCCAATGCGGCTTTTTTCTTGTACCTGGGTGTTAAAAAAATTTGTTTCAGTCACAGCACAATGAGCAAGCTTTGCAAAGTTCTCATCATCTGATCGCGCTGCACTATTGTATTGGTCAATCATGTCGTGGCTATCGGTCAATTGTTCCACCACTGGTCAGTTGCGTTGCCATCAGTCTAGACCTAGGAGGGCCTATAGTGTAAAATCAGTATTTTTACGAACATCCAGAAAACAACGGGGAAGGAATGTGGTATCCTGATGCCACTTCTTTGGTTGTGTACAAAGTCTATGGAGAGTTGAGTGCATTTTCAATGTGTTTTTTAACAAAATTAGAAAAGTTTCTCAGTCCCAGATTCATGTCTTTTCAATATTTTTGCAATGACTGACCTTCATTGACATGATTGAGATAATGTATGATGAATAAAGCAGGATGCAACATTCTTTCCAACAATGGCGTCAAGATGCATCAATGACTTGCGTGAAATGGTGCAAGACACACTGTGTATGCAGGCGTTAGTGCGCATGGACAGATGGACAGTCGTCACCAATACGAAACAGTCATTGATGCATCCTGGGTAAATGCTCGTGATCGTGACCCCTGTTAACGTGTACATGTGCTGTACATATTGACCCTAACCGCCCTGAATCCTTCAAAATCCTCTTTGCCAAAGTGGAGGAATTTGAAGGATTGAGGCTACATGGCAAAAGTGCGTGATCTCATAGGATGCACTTTGTCAAGGTCTTGGGCCGGACCTTGTGTTGTTTTTGCTCAGCCATGCATAAATATAGGCCTGGATTACGCGTGAAATCCTCCATACTGCTCCAGGATGTCACTGGCCAAGCCTCAACATATTGACAGTCACTGCCGCAGGATTTTGCTGGATTCAGGCAGTGGTCACCCCTCCACGGACCATATTCAAGAAATAATGGAGTAATTTGCAGGATTGAGGCTATACGCATATGCTATTTTTCCATGAGGCCAATTGGAGGATTTTGCAGGGTTGAGGCTACATCCTCGCAAAAAGGCCTTGGGAGTTAGGGTTAATGAAATGATTTCAAACATGGCGGGCAGGCAGTGTGGTGGAGGGTGAAACTGGTCAAACAATCTTGATTTGCAGCTCAAAAAATGATTGATGTACATGTAGTTCATCTTTAACATGTTGAGAAGCAAGTAGTCGCTGTATTAAATACAATGTACTATTTTTGTCAAGTCTTTGCCGTGAAATTTTACATTGTAGGCCCACTATTCGCTGAGGTGCTAGAACGACCGACTAAAGACAAAAGTTGAAAGATGGGAGTTCTAGCGCCCCAGTTGCTGGGTCTACCATCAGTCAAATACATTTTTTTGGTGTAATTCATTGCTCTGGAGTAGAGGCTTGAATTTTGAGAATTTCGAAAGGATCAACCAACCGGGCAAGCATATTTCTGCGCGATCGAGCGATGCATATCAACCGATGGCACCCAATATTCGTTTTTCATTTTAAAAATTGGGTCCACGATTTCAAGAAAGCAAGCAAGAACAATTTCAGTGAAATGTCCCAGACTGGGACATTGAGTGCAGAAAAACACGCAAAACAAATTCAGGCCAACTTTACTCTCTAAATTCTCCAAAATTGTCATGAGGCAAACCCGAGGTCCTCAGTATTTCACCAGCCAAGTTTGAGGTCTCACTTTACCATATTCGATCTCACTGCCATATCACTAAAATGAAAGGTCTTGTCCCCTTTAATTTGATACCACACTTGAGGTTGTGATGTTTGCACTTGCAGTTTTAAAGGGACATTACGGCCTGGAATGGGCCCAATTGAGCCACAAAATGCATTTTATATTAATCGGAAAGAACATTTAAAAGTAGGATATAAACATCCACACGACCATACTTAGAAAACTGGGCGTTTTTTGTGTTATTCTTGTGAGAACCATTTTCAACCCCAACTCTCTGGACAAATTGCATGCAGAGCTTCCTTAATTCATGTGCATGTACTGTACACGCATACAATGTACCGGTACATGAATTAAACAAGGGAAATGCACAAAATAAATAGTGAGTAATGTAAGTGCATTTGTGAAGTACTCTATAGTGCAGTGCTGTGATAACATTTTTTCTTGAGGAAATAAATGACTTGTACAAAGTACAATGAATGCTTGCTCCGTACATATTCTGAACTCTGAACAGGACACGTCTAGGATGTCTACATGTTGTATCCAGTTACATAATACAATTACACGTACAGTGCCATCCACTGTGGCACAGTTCAGTCCATAAATCATTTTGACTTAAATTAATTGACATTCTGTACTTGTATGTAATTTACAATTGAAGGAAGTACATGTACATGTTAGAAAAATGTAATTGTTGAGAAACAAGTGTACATGTAGGTCATATTAGGTCGTATTTTGAGTGCATGAGGGCGCTGTAACGACGCTATTTTTGGAGCACAAACAGTAGAACTATCACATTTTGTTGAAGCGATAAGTAATTTTTTTTTTTTCAATCTACAAGTCGAAGATTGTAACTGAACCTTTTTTTTCCCCCAGAAGTGGCGTCACAGAATCCTCATTCGCTCAAAAATATGGCCCAGTGAGATTTTTTAATCCGTCTGACTTAAGAACAATCTCGTACTATGTTTCTATATTGTACGTTACATTGTACCCCAGGCAACGTGTAAGTTTAATTTCAAGAAAAGGGTCAAGAATACACGTGTTCAGGGAATACATGTATTGGCAGTTGATAAATGGTGCATTTTTTCCTGTAAAATGTTCAGCACAAGTATACATACGGTACATGTACATGTAGTACATGTAGATGGTCAGCTTACTTAACATCACCCTGGATCTTGGAGTAGGTTTTTATTGGATTAAATACAGACACACATGTAGTATGTGAACATAAGAACAGCCATGAGAAGATGTGATTCGCTGTAAGAGATTAACGCCATACATGTAGGCTTGTCAGTGCTGGCCCACAGATGCCTAAAGGCCTTCAGCATTTAATCATTGTCAACATACATTGATCCCTCCGACTTAAAGGGAATATACATCATTTGCTTTTGCTGTAATTTTCAGAAATGGATGGAATTGGGGGGTTGGAAATATATAGCAAATATAGTTACACTGACTTTTTTGAGGTTTTGGGTTCGAAAATGCTATAAAAACCAAGAAAACGATCATTTTCCTGTAGTCTGGTTCCCTGACTCCATATAAGAAGAAACAGAGCAGTTTACATACATTGGGGAATTGTAAGGTCAGGGAACCAGTCTAGCTGGCTCGTACCCGTTCATAGGTTTGTAATCGATTGCAAACAAGTGCGATGGTCAATTGGGGCCAGTATTTGAAAAAAAAGCCAGTTGCTTCCAACGCTGATCGGCCGATCAGCGTTGGAAATTGATACAAAAATACCACTTTTCTTGAAAATGACAGTATACCAGGTGCCATGATTTTACAGGATGCTTTACACTGTCATTCACTAACAGTCCAGCAAGGTATTTCAAAATGATTTGGTAGTTTTATATTTTGATGTTTGCAAATGTTGTATTTTCCCTTTAAAGGAACATGTAACATTTTTGCAGTTCTGTATTATGGGCTTACATGCACCGTAAATGTAGTGTAGCCCAGGTTTTATTGTTTTAAAACTCGTGTGTGATGATTTGACAAATGTTTTAATCGGAATACAATGCACACGTATTGTAAGTGTATACACATGTGTACATATCGGTATCTACAGAACATGTTCATGTACACCTACATGTACAGCCAAGCAGTTCATACCAGTTTGTGTTTGTGTGCTGGTCATTACTACGGGTGTACATGCACATGTGTTAAAAATCAAGCTTAGATGTTGAACCTGTAGTCGTTGATTATTTACACATTACATGTACCATACATGTACATGTACATTTGTACATGTTGTTCTTTTACTGTCCATACATGCACACACATGTACATGTACTGTATAGGCAAATTTGGGCAAGGACCTTCAGTCGACTGCTGTTGATTTGTGATGTAATTGCTGGTGAAAACATCATACAAAACTTCTTGATTCTGGCTCCCTGTTGTGCATTGTGAATGTCTTTATTCAGCCAAATGGTAACCAGTGATGGAACTGTGCCCCAGGCTATGGTTCCAAATAGCTAACCAGAGTAGAGTGCAGTTAGTCAAACCATGGTCAAACCATATCCTCGCTTGAACTGAGCTTTGAGCAAAGGTGAATCATGTTCATACAGGTAGATGTACATTGTACGGGTACATGTACATGTACATGTACTTCAGAGGATGACTGCTTGTGTTTATGGTCAGAGGTCAGGGAAATGTATGAACCTTCAAGTATCCATGCTGTCAGTAGTTTGATGGCTCTGGTCTGGTCCAAGTTCCACCTCCATATTCAATGCATCATGCAGTACACTACATTGCATAATTGTAATGGCTTACACTGAA